ATTCGGTTATTTTTGGGCATAATATTATGCTTTAGGTATCTAAAGTTATCTAAATATATCGATGTTTTCATTTTAAACCTTATGGGTTTAAAATGAAACACTGAAATCATGGACAAAAGGCCTAAATTACTATATTGCATCCTACAACAAATAAATCAGAAGATATTACTTCAAGAGAAGCCAAAATGAAATAGTATCCACTTCCCTCTGTTTCCCCCTCTGTTAATTTGAGCAGGAGACAGAATCTAAAAGTACGTAAAGCGAATAAGAGACTGCTCAACCGAAGCGCAGTCACCCCAAGAACTAACGTAGGTATATACCGTATACCCCGATTTATATATCTCCTAGCTTGTTTACATAGGTGCGAGTGTATTGCAGTGGAGACATTCTCAAGAGTCTGCAATGCAAATTACCACTTAATATTGAATAGTTCTACATATTAAACATACTTATCAGAGCTATTTATTATCATTTGAAGCAAATAGGTGCGCAACAAATGCAAAATATTGTACACAATATATTTATACACGTATTTTAATTGTGGGAGTGTTATTTTAAGAGCTTCGGCACGAAACCGAAAGGGTTGACTGGATATACCACGACTTCACAGAAAACAGGCGTGAAACAACTCTTGCGTTGTATTTCGATGTGTTAGTGAGGTTCCCAAAAGCCCAATCCTTCCTCCGTACTCGTCCCCAATCCCCAACCCATTAAAACACTTTCTGGTTTTGGTGATGTCAACGGGCGGCGCCGATTGCTTACCAACAGATGAACCACACACTTATTTGCAGCCCTATCCTATTAAACAATCGCTCAAGTTCATCACAGTTAAAAAAAGGTTCAGGAGAATCAGAGAGTGCTGCTGCCAATTCTCTGTGAAATGTGTACTTCTTTTTTACGATGTTTTTTTTTTTTTGTTAGAGAAAATTCATCAAATGACTTTCGCCGAGGGTGAGGCAAGAGGAAGTGTCAAACTCTTACTAAAAACCTCCCCGTTCCTTCTCCTGCTCTAAGCCGCGATGCCTTATATGCCTTATTGCGCTTACCCCGCAACCCCGGCTTCTTTTCTAGACACGATATTTTTCTTAGATCTGGTTCTACGACCCCCGCGGGAAAAGTAGAATGGAGACAAACGTATTTTACTCTAACCACCGAAACAAAAGTATGTACTTCTTGTCTGTCGATATTTTCGTGGAAAAAGACGTGTGTTAATTATATACATAGATATAATTAACACATCCTAAAAGTATTGTGTTTGTTAATAATGACATCATTAAACAATCACAACTAATATCACAGGTCATTTTTAATTCATTATTATTCATTTTAATATTGATTTTGTGGTTGATGGCGGAAGTATAGACGTCACAGAAGTTACAGAGTTCATATTGCGTGTCGGTGTGTTTAGCACTCTGTGCTTAATATGGACTCTTAATTTGATAACTATCGGCATATGGATAATAAAGAACTACCACAAAGGCAAATAAACAATTGAAAAATGCGACTAAGGGTGTTTTTGTAGGATCTGAATAAAATAAGAACTTATTACCTCTGGTATTCAGTTGTATGTAGGATACAGTAACAAACGGAATGACCACGGGCTCCGATTCTTGAATAAAGAAATATGGAAGCGCCACTAGTAGGTAGGTAGGTACATTGTCCTTAATATTATGACACGTAAATTCTCTATGGGCGTCACTCATCCCGGAAAAGGGAGGAATTTGTGTAGTATGCTTTGTATCACTAGTTGGTAATACAAATCAAATAAATATTAATGAAAAAAAAAATCTTAAATCCTCATCAAATCGAATTTGAATTGAGTATGGTTCTTCATTTTAGCCATAGAAGAGTAAACATATTCTAATACAATTTTCGATCGGCATATTTTTTTTTTCATTTAATAATAAGTACCTATTTTAAAACATCATGCAGGTTTTGTTTGTCCCTAGTATTAAACTTGAGAACTGAATCCAACAGTCAGTCTTTAACATGTTGTCTGCATTGGGAATTTATCGGATTACTAAGAGGTTTATTTTATAATATTCTTACTTCGATTTTTATTTCTACTGTTATGTACTTCTGTTATTGGCTGCCAGTAATCAATTATGCCTTATTCATTCATTATTTAAATACTCATTATGAATGAGCAGATTACACAATCATTATAATGCAGCCCATCAGTTAGGAATCCAATTAGACTTTTCCTAATGGTCTTAAATTGTTGGAGTAATTTGAGTAAACTTGACTTTAAGCATGTAAGAAGAGATTAATGAGTTTCATGTGATTTTATTTTAGGCAAACATGTACAATGTTTAGGGTCATCAAAGTAGTGTATTCATCATTACTAATATAATAGAGCTGAAAAGGTTGTTTGTTTGAACACACTAATCTCTGGAATAACTGGTTTGGATTGAACAATTCTTTTTGTAATGGCTATAGGCTATCATATATCCCGTTACAATTAATATCTGAGCAGCGTATCAAACTGCAAGGCAGTGTGTTTGTGCAGTAGGCAAAACTAGGTAATTGTTATAAATATAGTGTTGGCTTTACAATATAATGATAAGTGCTATTTCACTATACAATTATCTATTTCTATTTGCACACTTACAAACTTGTGTGTGCAGTTACTAAGTACATATTTAACATTATATTGATCAAATCAATACACATATTATATTAAACTAAAAATGTGAATGAATTAAAAAAAGTTTAGAAAAAAGAGATAAGAGAATGTCTTAAAAGCTTTTATCAGTATCTTTATTATTTAAGATCCATTATGGACAAAGTTTCAAAAGATTACAGCAGTGACAAGAGGGCAAATCAAATGTTACATGAACCTATTGTTTATCATCTTAGATGAAGCAATTTAAATAACTGTGTTTTATAGGAACTACCGTCAGCAGATTATAAATAAAATGAATTTTCAAATCCAGTTAAAGTACTTTAAATTAATTAAAAAATTACACAATAGAAAATAAGAATTTAGATTAATAATATTTTGAAAAACAAAAAAACAACCCTTTTGATTTCTTTGTAGATAGGTAAATCCTGACTTCTTCCTTTTTGGTAAAACAACAAGTAAAATAAAAACTTATAATTAAAAAAATATCCCAACATACCCATAGCCAATAATTGCCACAGAAAAATTATAACAATATTTATAAACCTATCATAGTTGTCAGAAAATCGCACAAGTTAAGATCACTATCTTATCAGAGACTTATCAAAAGACAAACTGTTAGTGTAAAAATTGTCTGTCTTTATGTTGACAGTGTGATATCACACTTAGCTACAATATCTATGTTACTGGAAAAATTTAACGTACAAATAAATTATACTAATAGTGTGAATCATTATTGAATGAATAAGTATGTTGAATTTGGAATACTAGAATAGAAACAAATACAATTTTGTTCAGTGGGATTTTTAAAGAAATAGTTTTATCATACTAATAAGAATTACTTACATAAGAAAATTAGTTTTTAATTTTTTTAATAAAAATATACTTATATATTATGATAATACATAAGAGATAGGATGATGATTTTTTATAAATAATGCAACTATTTTAAAATAAAAAAAGCATTTTGTTCACTGACCTGGCAGAGTATGGTATCCGATTGTGGACAGATGTCCAGTAGAGTTGCAACTACCAGGTGGCAGGTCCGAGTCCATCATATTGCAGTGTTGTCTCCCTCTTTCAAACTCAAACCCCTGGCCGGCACATACCATGCCATCTTATCTACACTTAACACTTTACACTACACACTTGTCCTCTTGATTTAAAATCTGTGCCAATGAAACATCTCAATCAGTTCCCATACTCTTTGCATAACACTTATCTACCTAAATTAAATGTCTTATCACTTTTTACACTTTTAGCCAATTTAAATCAAATTAAACAGGATTTACATGCTGTAGCAGTGGCTGACAAGGGTCGAAATGAATTATTGCATACGCGATGCAAAACCGGCGGCCCACTTTACACCCCAAGACATAAATAGTTAGATGAATGCAATAACCAGAAAATAGGTCAACGGAGGTGTGCCCGGCCGCCGCGACAGAGACAACAGACGCACTGCCTCCGACGGTCGCGGCGCATCACAATCTAATAAGAGCCTGTGCAAACTTAATTACTATCAACTGGGTATTACAAAACTTCGCACTAAAGTCAAGAATCGTGGAATAATTAACGAGAGCCCGCAATTTTACTAGCTACGTACAAATAAACATTACTATAAACACATCTTGTCTTACTTTCTAACAAGCGCAGATGAAAGAGAGAACCGACCGCGACGCAGCAGAGCCCCAACTCCCCTACATGTCAACCACCGTACATCACCATCCAAGTCATTGATCTATTTGGTCATTACTTACACACACATAACTTCGCACTCTAAAACATTGATAGGACACTACAATAATCTTTTGATTAATAAATTTGTCTGTTTATAGTTTTTAGTGAATAAACAGAGCTAAAAACTTTAAACACACCCCGACGGAAGACACTACTACGTCGCCATATTTATTTACCTATTCAGTGTTGTCACTCCTATCTTGGAATCTATCATTTGGTAATAAATTAGTAAGCAAAAAAAATTTCTACCTTTTTAAAAAGATCGTCTCGATGATCTCTGTAATTATTTTTATAACATATCCATATTAGGTAGTTCTGTAACTGTTTTTCTTACTCCTATGATTTAATGCATGCCGTGGCAGCCTTTAATTAAGGCTACACTACAATATGTAATTATGTGAGTGCTACATGTGTTTTCTGGTGTATGCTTTATAAGTTGTCCTTTAATAACCTTATCAGTAGTAGTAATTCAAAATATTAGTTTTAGTCTGGACACCAAAATTGTCATTGTTCTATAAAAAAGGGACGTCACTACTTTTGACAATGACGTTGACATAACTAATGTCAGTTCATGCTTTGCTGTCACAGTGTAGGTTTGTGTTTGTATACTTGTCCGAGGCGAATATTTTTATTGTGCTTTAAACAAGTTTAATTAATTATTCATAATTTTGTGTTGTGAGAATATAATGTGAAGAGATATAATACAACTTATTTTGTAATCTGTTGTTAAAATGGAGACCACTCCGTTGCTGACGAGACCTAAAAAGAAATCCTTATGGTCAAGGTAAATGTTTTTTCACTAATGCTCTTTGTTTGGCTTAGTAATTGGATGAGAATCACGTTAAAATTGATGATTTTAGGTTACAATTCTGGAGATTTCGTAAGAAGAAGTTGAGTTCGAGAGCTATTTATTTGGGGCAGCTGCCTGATGAAGAATTTCCGCCTAACTATGTCTGTAATCAGGTCAGTGACGATGTACACTATTGAACACCATAGAAATACCATAGACGCGTAAATTATGAATTAGTAAATAAATGTTGAAATTACAAATGTATATAAGGACTGAAGATTATCATTATTATATTATAATGCAAATTAATTATGCATTTATTAGAAGAGAAGTCACGATGACGCATTTTGTTCTAATCAATACACAGTCCTAATTTAATACTGTTATTATAGTTGCCCGAACTTTGCAGTCTATTTTGGTGATTTCAACTTATGTTATAAACTTATAAAATAATTCTAGTGGTGTGTTAGATAAATTCTAAGGATACTTATTGATACAAAGTTCAAACAAGGTTTCATAAGTCATTAGGATAGTTTACAAACAATGAGTATTCATTTAGGTCAATAATGTTAAATTCTTATTCTGATAATACTATGAACCATTTGTATCTTAAAATAGAGTTTAGAAACAGTCAGACATTTAGTCTTTAAACATTGTCTAGTAGATAAGATATTAGATCATAGATCTTTCACAGAACTATGACAGTTCTGCAGTATTAAAATCCAGTAGGAACATGTAGTATCCATGGACATATATTTAATAAATGTGTTATCATGTGCATTGTAAGTTTGTACATAGATTAATATATTAAATAATGTCAGTAAATATTGATAAATTATGAAGAAATCTCACTGAAATTCTTTCTCTCTACATAGTATAATTTAAAGTCACTTTCTCTGTCCTTATACCTTAAGTTTAAGTATGTATGTATATGCTTAAGTCCTTGAAATTACAAATACATTTTAATATGGTATTTTTAATAGCTAGATTGGTGGAAGCTGAAGATATTTAAAATAACATTCAGATTTAGTATCAGCATGCACCAGTTTGAAGCAAAATTTACACACTGCAGCAAGATCATTCTTTTAGAAAGCTTGGCTGCAATGAACTGAGAGTAGACAAGGAGGTCACTCCACAAGTAAAAGTTTTATTTATGCTCTATGATTTAGTTTTGTTATAAAACAGCCAGTTTTTATTAGAGATAATTTAATAAGATATTTTTAAACTAGCCATGAAATTACGAAAAATAAATATATGTACATATACAAGAGAATAATTTTACAATACTAAATCATAACTGGGCTTTTAAAAAAGTATCTATCTATGCAACTATTTCGTTTATTGGACAAACAAAAGGATTTATTTATTTAATTTTATATTTCCAAAATAATATACAAATAAATAAGCAATATAACTAATATTATTCTGAAATTACAAATAGCATCACAAACATGATTTTTATATCATAAGTTTACTTGTTTTTTTTTTTATCACAAATAATGAGTCAGCTGACAGTCTAACAGAGATATCGTTCATCACAATTCACAATGCGCAGTTTTATTATATTTAAATTGCTGTAACAATGAGTGCTCTATTACATAAATATGGTTATCATTGTAGTAACACATACATATATCAATTTACCATGTTCCTGTGTGAATAGTAAAATAATAATGATTACCAACCTCCAATTAGAATTTTGGCACTTATTTTTTTATGTTTACAATCATCGTCATCAACCAATAAGTGCCCACTGCTGAGCAAATTTTCTCTTCTCATGTGGAGAAGGGTAAGAGCATTAAAGTCACGCTTGCTCATTGCGCTTGCGGATTGGCCAGTAGTCCAGGTTTCCTCGCAATGTGTGCCTAAATAATCATGTAAAGTACATATAACTGGAAAAAAGTAACATTGGTACTTGCCAGGTTTTGAATACACTAACCCTCATTATGAGAAGCGGGTGCCTCAACCTCCAGGCTACCACGGCTGCTTACAATAACACTTCGGTTTTTTATTACCTCATAATGTCTAGACATGTTAAATGTGAGAAATGTATGAGTAATTACTGTTACGTACTCTGCGAAGTTATTTGGTATGCGGGTAAGAATATAAAGACAATAGCTGTTGTATCTGTTAAATACACTAAATTATGTAGTTTTAAATGAAGCCATATCTTTTGGAACCATTAATCAGTTCCATGTCTAGCGTCGTCTAACGTCCTAGAATCATTCGCTCTCGAGGAAATATCTACGGATTTTGATTTCCAGATAAAGAAAATAAAAAGAGATTTGTAGTTGAATTCTTAAAAAGTTAGTTTGTCGTTAAAGGGACTTTTCTGGTATTAGTCATTTCGTGAGAGTATAACAAACTATTTTCCGCCCGCGTGGTATGTTAATAAAAACCTATGATGTGTTAACCCAAATTGGTCTAGCCATTTTTGTTTTGTGTGAAAGAATAACAATCATACATTTTTACATTCTCACAAACTGTCACATTTATAATATTAGTAAGCTAGTGGGATTCCGGACGGTTGATACTTGATAGATATTCTTTATTCATCACTTAACAAAACACTAAAACAAGACATCTTTTATCATTCTACAATCTGTAACTCCCAGCATTGCGTCATTAGAAATAATTCGCCAACGTTTGCCCGACTCGCCCTTGCCACAATGACCGGCCATTGTATTCGCACCGCTATATTATCCAATCAGAATACCGGATAGTTTGTCACTGATCTCAACTATTGTGTATTATGTTTGTAAATCTGAAACGTTATTAAATGCTGAAATAGATAAATATGTATAGATAACTAGCGACCCGACCAACTTCGCACAGACGCAATGCTGCCCAAATTTCTCTAATATTTAATAGATGTTCCTCTTCAATCACTCTATCTATTAAAAAACCGCATCAAAATCAGTTGCGAAATTCTAAAGATTAAAGCATACACAGGGATATCGGAACAGAGAAAGCAATTTGGTTTTGTACTATGTAGTGATCTTAAATAACTATAGAGATGCCTAGTAACTCGTTACTTGGAAAAACAGGCAAAACCACGGATAAAATGGGTACTCCTGATTGGTCACTGTAATAATGAGAACCAACTGATACATACTTATATGACAGAAAAAGAAACGAAATGTGTACAGAACCTACCCAGTACCATTCTTATATGTTATTGTACATTAGTGTATACTTATATTTAAGATGCATTTTGTATTCACAGTTTATTGTTCTAAGTGCTACTTATTTCACCTACCATACTTTCTCTATCCCACCCAAAGGTTAATTGGTGAGAATGAATGGCGTTTAGCCTGCTAATATTATGTTGCATAAAGGTTAAATAAATAAAAACACTTAACAACACAAGTTCGCATGGTTCTCCTACACCATCGTTATTTCTCCTATGATTAAAATACAAAATTACCCTAATTTAATAATTTATAAAAACTTAATTTGGACCAAGGTTTGGTATCTAAAAATCTACGTTTTTTCAGAAATACAACATCCTCACATTCCTACCTCTGGTACTGTTCGAGCAGTTCCGTTTCTTCCTCAACCTGTACTTCTTGGTGATGGCCCTCAGTCAGTTCATACCCAGCATTCGTATTGGGTATTTGTACACGTACTGGGGGCCTCTATGCTTCGTGCTTGCCGTCACGCTCTTCAGGGAAGCCGTTGATGATTTCCGAAGATATCGGTGAGTTGAAAATGTTACTAAGTACTAACTAGTTCTCTACTATGATATCCATTATTTTCTGTCCCATAACTTCAATTCGAAACTGAGCTAATAATTCCTACAGTCGTAATCAAATCAAAGTAAGGTAGTACTTTATGCCAGTATCAGTATGAACTTCAAAATAAGAGTGTATACCTACACTCCTACTAAAAAGGCAATCCATTTGTGACTCTTCCTTAGTTGTCTATGGGTTATACTGATCGGCTTCTATCAAGTGATCCGTTTGCTCTCGTTTTCTCATAAGCTATAAGAAACTTACATAATAGATGCAATGATATTATAATTGAAAAGGTGTAGATAAGTTACAAGCGCTCAACTAGTGATACATTAAATGTGGCTAACTTTGCCACACTTTTTCATATTTGTCTCTTTTTCACTCGCGATTGTTGAATCATGCCATCCCACTTTAACGTGTATCATACAATTAATTCTTGTGTGCATTAGTGTTCCGTTTTCGAAAATCGAATGTTGTTTGTGCAACCTATCTACACCATTTTACTTACAATATCATTGAATAGATGTGTAACTATGATCTCCTATAAAGGATGACCGCGTGAGCAATCAAATATGAGCCAAGGCTGCGCCATAATGTACCGTTGCCCTGGCTCGTACCAAGAGCATGAAATCTGTGGCTTTTAGTCAGTAAGAGTCAGATACTCCCTCTCGCCACACCACGGTATAAGTCACAAGAACTCATTTTTTCTTCCCTCAAAACAAAAAAGAGTAAATAATTCAATAAATCTATATCACATAACTTCAATATAAATCTACTTTCAATATTTTTTTTGCGACATAAAACCCCTTAAAATTATGTACACAAAATGTTTGGTAACACCTAAGTAATAGCCTCTAATCAACTTAAGCAAAATAAATCTAATTAGTAATTAGTAGTTCTATCAAACATTTAAGCAGTTTCATGAAATACGATAGGATAGACTGAGGCAATTCAGGTGCTTATTTCGAAACAACGCGTTGATATCTATAGAGTTAGCCTTCCTCGATAAATGGTCTTACAAACACAAGAAGAATTATTCAAATCTAACCAGTAGTTCTGGAGATTAGCGCGTTCAAACAAACTCCGCAATCATATATTAATTTAAAAGATTTGAGGTTACCGGAGGCCCAATCCTTCCCCTCCCCCAATCCCTCCTAAATCCCTAAATCTCCAAATCCCTAATCCCTAAAAGGTCAGCAACGCACTCGTAACTCCTCCGTTGCGAGTGTCCATGGGCGGCGCTGATTGCTTACCGTCAGGTAATCCGTCTGCACGTTTGCCGACCTATTAAATAAATAAAAAAAACAACTTTTAAACCCTATCTAACAATTTTCAGACGAGACAGGGAAGTTAATCGCCAGCGCTACGAACGAATAGTCCTAGACAATTCCGCATCAGATTACCGGCCCTTCATCACGGAACAGGTGGCGTCCTCTGAACTTCGAGTAGGCGACATAGTGATGCTCCATAAAGGGCAGAGAGTGCCCGCTGACATGATCCTGCTAAGAACTAATGAGACTATGGGCACTGTCTTTATAAGAACTGATCAACTGGATGGAGAGATTGATTGGAAGTTGAGGTGAGTCAAAGATAATAGAGAATTTTGGGCCATTTAACAGAACCTTGAATGCCCAATGTTCAACCTCATTCACAGAGTAATAAGGTTTAAAGTCGACACAGTTTTTATTAAACGGAGACAATAGGAATGGGGAATTTATTTATTGGTAAACCTATAGCTAATTAATTTGTTTTTAATAACATATGAGGATTGCGATTATTAGGAGAGCAATAGTTTTCTATAGCTAATAATAAACTCTGCAAGTAACACAACTTTGTTTATAAATAAACAAAACAAATTAATTTTAACATCAATTTCTTATCTAAAACCTTATCTTACCATATCATAAGCGTCGTCTTGGCAAAAACTATTATTTATATAATTTGTCACGTATCAGGGTAATGACCTGACTAGAGATTAAAAATGTTGTGGAGGAAGTTAAAGCGTTCGCTTCTCATGCTTGAGGGTGCGTTCGAAACCTGGCAAATACCAAATGACGATTTCCGAGTTAAACGTATTTTCTGACATACGGTGAAGGATGAAAACATCGTGACGAGACCTGGACTTATAATTTCTAATTATAAATTTCAAATCAGCTATCCTCTGAGCAAGCGTGGTGATTAGTACCTAAACCTTCTCTTTTGAAACCATATTATAGAATAATAGACTGTCAGTCTTTTCGTCAGTGAAACTAGGTGAAAGAAATAAGTAAAAGACTTCCCACCCTTAAAAAAATACATCCAGTTTTGCCATCCAATATTACAATACCGCCAAAGTATCTTGGCGAGTCTGAAGTTAGCCGATTAGCTGCGCAGTACACAATTTTGTTCCTAAAAGATCCATTGCGCAGACAAACGGCTAACTTCAGACTCGCCAAGATACGTCGCTCGGCCGTACTATATATTTATTCAAGGATATAATTCCTTATAAGTATTACCTTGTAGTTAGTAGTCTAACTATCGTCTACAGAGCTAAATAGGAATTCGGTCAAGAGGAACATTAGAATCAAGTACTTACTTAGTTATTAAAGTGTTTATGTTATCAATAATTTTGGAATGTATAAGTACTATCACTATATCATATTAGGTACAATCGCCAAAAGCGTTGAATGAATAACAGCAAGCAAATTATCACATTTATGGCAGGCGATAAGGATAAGCTGTTATTCAGTTTTTGATTACGATTGTACTTTAACGCGATTGGAATGTTACAGCTCTCTGATTGGTTGGTTAACTTGAAGCGGGCCAATTAGAGCCTACTAAGCAAAGGCTTTCCCACACGAAGAAGGTTTGAGCATTTATAACCACGCTTGCATAGACGCGGTAATAATTTCGATCGCTTTGACGTTATACAATTCGCAGTCAGCTTTGTGTTCACAAACGCATTTTCGTATCAAAACAAGCAATGAATATTAAAGTTCTACAAATAAACATAATCTTTCAATAAATTGCTCTTATCTCCCGCGTGTCATTGGCATTACTCGCGTACCTCGTGACTTGTTACAGCTTCCTTATTCCACTGTGCAAACGACTGATACGTATGTTGACAAACAATCACAAAGATAAATAATATAATAAATACAATGATGGCATACATTTATTTGTGATGAAGACGGAACTTAGCGAGCAATGTACGCGAGTGGCGACTTATAATATGATGCATTTGTCCAACAGTGGACGTCATCAGATTATACAATGATACATTTATATTCGATTCATTTGGGTGGGTCTCTGCCAGATGGATTCGGCTTCTTTTATGGGTTCCAAATGTCCGGGACCCTGTGGTCGCATGAATAGAAGCGAACACAAATTTTAATATTACAAAAATGGGATCCAATTACAGGCAAGTTCCCAACTACTAGTCGTTAAGACTCTAAAGGCAGTAACCTCCTCAAAATGCGTGTGCGCTTTCAAAGAAATCTGTTGTATCAGGGATCCATCCGCCTTACGTCAGTCTCCTAGGATGGGATGAGATTATTGCCGGAAGCTTTTGGGAACTAATCCATTGGCCAACACAACAAACCTCAAAAATATTAATATTTATAATTTATTTTTTCACAGAATACCACTTCGTTCAACGCAAAAACTACCGACAGACGCCCATCTCCTGGACATTAACGCTCAGATCTTCGTTGAGAAACCAGAGAAAGATATCCATTCCTTCATCGGAACTTGTACCAGGCTTGATGAAGGGGAAACCGATTCATTACATATTGAGAACACCCTGTGGAGTGGGTGTGTCGTCGCTTCAGGACAAGCTACCGGTCTTGTCATTTACACTGGTATGATTTTGAACCTTATTTTGTGTGCAATAGGATTGCTAATTTTACGATAACCGGTGTCCTTAACTGCTAATCAATTTTTAACCTTAAGGTTTGGACTTACATACAATGATGTATAAAACTATAGATACGTTGTCCGCGCTCTAAAATGACAACATGAAATGAAGGCAATTGACAACATCGCGCTTAGTTACGCACCAACCTGCCGCGCGACGCTACGTTTGTTTTTAATTTATATCGTGTGTGTAAACCTGTGCGAAACATAAAGAAAGCATGTCGTCGTGTGTGTTCAGACGATGTACAAATTATACTCCAAAAGTTAAAGACAAAATGTGTCATTTCATGCGTAAGTTCACCAAACAACCTATTTTTATTTTATTTTTTTCGACGCCGGCGCCCGCCATCTTATGGCGGCCGGCGCATGAAGGTATAGTCACGTGCCGTCGGCATAACTGAAGATGTATATTTATCTCCCTCTAGCAAAGGCATTCCACTATACGATGTCATATTTTCTTTCCCTTTCTTTACTCGTAGAAGTAGTTATCTAGTATTTTCGCCGTTTTTAAGCGCCGCGATGTTGGTTCATGACGTGTCTATATATAATACGTCATTGCTTACATAGGTGTAAAAATAGAATAGAGACGTTGATGAGGGTGTTTAACTATTCGCATAACCGTACGACATCGACACATCGGCCATTGCTCAAAGTGCTCATGATTATGAGTCCCTATTGTGATTTGAAATTAGTCGAGCAATCCTCTCGACAGTTATATTATTTTGTATAGACTGGCAAACGAGTAGACCTATCACCTGATGGTAAGCAATTGGCACCGCCTTTAGACATTGAGAACATCAAACTTTTGACTACACGGTTGACGCGGTGACTGGGCAACTGGCTACCTCGCAACGTGTCGCACAGATTCGATTCTCGCACGAAACAACTCTTTAAGTGATCCACAAATTATTGTTCCGGGTTTAGTTGTTATGTGTAGTGAAATCGTACTTATGCAAACGCACCTACGACACAGGGGAAAATTCCTAATTTGATACAACGTTTTTTTTAAAACAAAACTTAGTTATAAGTGCTTAGACTGCACGGTTAGTGCGGAAGCTGGACAACTGGCTGCCGTGCAACGTGCCGCGGGTTCGATTCCCGCACGGAACAACTCTTTGTGTGATCCACAGTTTGTTGTTCCGGGTCTGGTTGTGTATGTGAAATTGTATGTTTATAACAGCACCCGGTTTTTTCTCCTATGTCGTCATAGGAGAAAAACGTTATGTTTTTTTAAAAGAAAAGAAAAGTGCTTTGTCAGCCTTTTGGACACATAGGAATTACGGCTTACAGGTAGTGAAACTCGCAGCGTAATGAACAATGCTACCCCACGCTCCAAAGTTGGTCGGTTAGACCTTCAAGTGAACGACCTCACGAAGCTGCTTTTCGTCGCCACTATAGTCATATCAATGCTGCTCATCATACTCAAAGGATTTGCCGGACCCTGGTACGGGTTCTTGTTCAGATTTGTCCTGCTGTTCTCCTACATCATACCCATTAGGTAAGTACGAGTTGATTGAAAAGTGATACTGTTGTGGACAGAACATATCGGTTTATGTTCTATTCGTCCAACGACCGAAGCTGTCAAAAGTTCTCTATTCTGTAGAAAATTGTTTATGATACAACGTGCCCTAAAGCTTGTCAGTATTGCCCCATACCAATTTCTATTTGCTTTTTACAAACTATATCATTGACTACCTTTTGCCTGCGACTCCGTTCGCATGAAAATGTGACTTATTGCAGATTTTTGGTATAAAAACTAACCTATGTCCTCTCTCGAATTCCAAACTATGTCTGTACCAAAATTTCATAGAAATCGGTTCAGTGGCTTAGGAGTGAAGAAAAGACAGACAGACCAGACACCAGAGTTACTTTCGCATTTAAAATATTAGTTTGGATTACAATGCAACTGTAACTAAATATACAATACTGGGATGTAAGGGGGCGAACTTCCATCTTTCGCCCCAAGCCAACCTCACCTGCACGCGGTGCATCCTGCTGGTCAACGAACGAGGCTCTGGCGACCGACCGACGGCGGTATATCCGTCCCTTACAAACAGGCGAAATTAAGTACCGCAGGCCGGTGACGGGCAGCAGCGTTACCGGTGCGAAAAGTTTCGCCCTGCGATCGCCAACCCGCCTGCCCAGCGTGGCGATTATGGGCAATACCTCCTATGGGCAAAAAACGAAGGCCACGGCCCCCAGTTCCCGGCAGCCCCACTATTCCTGGTCATGGTGGCGACCATGGTAACGGTGGGGTAGGGGGTGCTAAGAATCTCCGGGCTACGGGAGGCCACCACAACAGACTGACCCTGGCGACGTACAACGGACGCACGCTACGGCTTGACTCGCATCTAGCGCAACTAGAGGTGGAACTTGGGAAGATCAGGTGGCACATACTAGGGTTATGTGAAGTCCGAAGAGAGGGGGAGGACACGATAACTCTCAAATCAGGCCACCTGATGTACTTCCGTGAGGGAGACCAAAAATCCCAAGGTGGCGTTGGGTTTCTGGTTAACAAGTCCCTATCTAACAATGTTGTGGAAATGTCGAGTGTGTCGAACAGGGTGGCGTACCTCATTATAAAGCTCACCGAGAGGTATAGCCTTAAGGTGGTCCAAGTGTACGCACCGACCTCGGCACACTCCGATGATGAGGTGGAGGAGATGTTCGATGATATATCGAGGGCCCTCCACTCCACCACTAGGACTCACTTCAACATTGTTATGGGGGACTTTAACGCCAAAGTGGGAGTACAAAATTGCAGTGAATCGGTAGTAGGATCCCATGGGTATGGAAACAGGAATCATAGGGGGCAAATGCTCGTCAATTTCCTCGAACGGGAGGGGATGTTCTTAATGAATTCATTCTTTAAGAAGCAGCCCCAAAGGAAGTGGACGTGGCAAAGCCCCGACACTATGACAAAGAACGAGATCGACTTCATCATGGCGGACAAAAGGCACATATTCAGAGACGTCTCCGTGATTAATAGGTTTAATACCGGTAGCGATCACCGACTCGTCCGAGGCTCTCTGAATATCGACTTCAGAGCCGAACGAGTCCGCTTGATGAAGGCCAGGCTCCGACCAACCCTGTTTCAAATCAAAATGGGATCTGAAGCGTTTCAGTTAAACCTGGAGAACCGATTTGCTGCCCTGGAAACCACAACCGACGTTAACCGGAACCTTGAAAACGTGGTTCGAGTTCTCAGGGAAGAAGGTACGAGATTTTGTGAAATGCAGCGTAAGGGCAGGAAGTCGAAGCTTTCGGAAGAGACTTTAGGGCTTATGAAGAGACGACGTGAAAACCCACCCGTCACTTCGTCAGAGAAGCGGGCTCTAAACCGAGAGATTAGCAAACACGTGCGACACGATCTCCGGTGCTCGAATACCCTTGCAATCGAGAGAGCGATCGAGCAAAACCGGGGGCCAAAAGTGTTCGTACAATCTCTTGGAAGAAGCCACCTGACGAAGTTGACCACAGCAAGTGGAGAAGTCGTTGTCTCGAAGCCGGCAGTTCTTTCGGAAGTAGAAAACTTCTACGGCCGGTTATACGCTTCGCATGCATCTCGACCTGACCCCGGAAATGAGGACTCTAGAGCCACTTTAATACGCCATTACACCGAAGACCTGCCAGAAGTCAGCATTGACGAAATCGAGATCGCTCTTGGACAGCTTAAAAATGGAAAAGCCCCTGGAGAGGATGGCGTTACGACAGAGCTTCTAAAAGCAGGCAGCAAACCGGTACTCAGGGAGCTGCAAAAGCTATTTAACGCTGTCCTGTTTGAAGGGAGAACTCCAGAGGCGTGGAGTCGGAGTGTGGTCGTCTTGTTCTTCAAAAAGGGTGACAAAACCCTACTGAAGAATTATCGACCCATTTCCCTTTTAAGCCACGTCTATAAGCTGTTCTCGAGAGTGATCACGAACCGCCTTGCGCGAAGACTTGACGAATTCCAACCACCGGAGCAGGCTGGGTTTCGGAGCGGATACGGCACCATAGACCACATCCACACAGTGCGGCAGATTATACAGAAGACTGAGGAGTATAATCAGCCCCTGTGCCTAGCATTTGTGGACTATGAGAAAGCCTTTGACTCGGTCGAAATCTGGGCTGTTCTGGAGTCCCTGCAGCGATGCCAAGTAGATTGGCGATACATCCAAGTGATGAGATGTCTCTACGAGGCCGCCACCATGTCCGTCCAAGTACAGGATCAGCAAACAAGGCCGATACCGTTGCATCGAGGTGTGAGACAAGGGGATGTTATCTCCCCGAAATTGTTCACAAATGCAATGGAGGATATGTTCAAGACGCTGAACTGGAAAGGACGCGGCATCAACATAAATGGCGAGTACATCTCTCACTTGCGATTTGCAGACGACATCGTCATCGTAGCAGAAACGCTGCAGGACCTACAACGGATGCTGAATGACCTGGCTGACTCTTCTATACGCATCGGCCTACGGATGAACTTGGATAAAACCAAGGTCATGTTCAATGAACATGTACTACCGGAACCGATTGCAGTACACGGCGCTGTTCTCGAAGTCGTTCAAAAATATGTATACCTCGGGCAGACATTGCAGATGGGTAGAAACAACTTCGAGAACGAGGTGAATAGAAGAATTCAGCTAGGTTGGGCAGCATATGGAAAGCTGCGTCAAGTCTTCACGTCGTCGATCCCACAGTGCCTAAAGACGAAAGTCTTCAATCAGTGCGTCCTACCTGTCATGACATACGGAGCCGAAACGTGGACACTGACGGTGCGGCTGGTTCACAAGCTAAAAGTCACTCAGCGAGCTATGGAGAGGGCTATGCTCGGCGTTTCTCTGCGAGATCGAATCAGAAACGAGGTGATCCGGCAGAGAACCAAGGTAATCGACATAGCCCACCGGATTAGCAAGCTGAAATGGCAGTGGGCTGGCCATATTAGCCGAAGAACCGATGACCGTTGGAGTAGACGAGTTCTTGAGTGGAGACCGCGTCTCGGCAAACGTAATGTAGGACGTCCTCAGGCAAGGTGGAGTGATGATTTGCGCAAGATGGCTGGCAGGAGCTGGATGCGAGTGGCCGAAGATCGATCCCAGTGGCGTGCAATAGGAGAGGCCTATGTCCAGCAGTGGACTGAAAAGGGCTGATGATGATGATGATGACAATGCAACTATTTGACGAGCTAACTCGACTGGTTTCAAGTTTTACTAGGGGCTTATATCCATGAAGAGTATTCACGGCCAGCATCATCAACATTTTATCATATTCACAGTCTAAGAGTAAACTTGGACATGGGAAAAGCGTTCTACTCCTGGACGATACAACGAGACAAGAAGATAGAAGGCACTGTAATGAGGTCCACCACTATCCCTGAAGAACTAGGCAGGATCCAGTACGTGTTGGCAGACAAAACAGGGACCCTCACGAAGAATGAAATGGTCTTCCAGAAGCTACATCTTGGCAACGCACTCTTTGATAAGAATAACTTTTATGAGGTGAGTTTTTGGCTATTATTCTTGTAATAAAGTTGGATTTGGTCTGTGTTTATTGTTATATAAAAACGATTTATTGCAAAGGTATAACAATGAGATCTGTAATAAGTTAAAAATAAATCTAGGGTGTTCCATTCCGGACTTTTGTAGTCAAAGTTATTGATAGAAAAATAAAAACATTACCTTCACAATAAATGATATGGAATGAGAAATCAAACGTCCTCCTTCATTAATGTCAATTAATAAAAATCTCATATAGATGGCATAAGTTACATTTCGTAGTTGACAACTTACGCTTGTTAAGTAAAAATGTGACATTTTCCGAGTTATATGACCTTTCTTCTTTAGCCATCACCGACCGTGACAAATGTCCTGACGTGTAGAAAACTGAACTTACAGATTACTAATTGTAACTTTGAATATGCCAGGACGGCTTAAGTAAGGTTGTGGATTAATATTCACACCTTCTCCGCGTAAAGAGAAGCCTTTACAGTAGGCACTTATAAGCTGATGATGTGTTTCCTGTAACCATAACTCTAAACACAAAGACGACTAACAAAAACCTTTCTTCCACAGGTCGAAGCTCTCCTAACCCAGTACGTTACAAACGACACCCCCTCCCTCCCTACCTCCCCCACTACGTCTATAATAGGGGATGGACTGGCCGCCTCCCCCAAGCAGGTGTGGGAGACTGTGCTCGCTATCGCCTTGTGCCACAACGTGACGCCGGTATACGACGTGCCTAGTGATTCGCAGGCTGATGAGGCGCAGTCAGGTAAGAACTGGAAGAAGGTATTATGTTTAAATACTTGGAGTGTCCCCTTTGGATACCCAGAACCCTAGAATAGGGCTTTTTTGATAGGTTTATATCATCTAATGGCTTTAAACGCTCTGGGTCGGGTCAAAGGGAATGTCAGACACTTACTGACTAAAAATAACCCTCTTCTCCTGCTCGAGTGTGGAGGCGTTACATTATTGCGCTTGATATTTGCAATTGGACAATATTTTTGGTCACCAGTCGGTGCCAATGTGGACCTCTTCTTTTTATTATATTTTATGTATACTAGGTATATTTTTACAGCTACTGTAATTAACGCTACCTGGTGCCCAAAAAATTTAGTGCATAGTGAAGTGCTACTAACATAGGTTTAAGTATTTATATACTAACAATTTTGTAAAATGTTTATTATGTATTAGTTATTTGTTTTTTTTTTAGATTGTTATTTATGTATAATGTTTTGGGCCTTAGTAGCCTGAAATAAAGTATTTTACTAAATGATATATTAAATTAATATAAAAACAATGTTTGAGAGCCTCCAAAATCAGATAATTTATTTCAATTTGACCAATAAGGCTCTTTTAAATGTCAACTTCAGTAACGTCACTGAAATACTGAAATACAACATGGCTCTTCCAAAAATTTCTTCATTACCCATATATTTATGTGGTGTTACAGACATGGGTAGTTCTGTGATGTCGGAGAGTTGTGGCGGGGCGGTGCCCCAGCAACAGCTGTGTGACTACCAGGCCTCCAGCCCCGACGAGGTCGCGCTCGTCAAGTGGACCGATATGGTATGTACCTAGGATTTAAAGACAAAACATTTGTTACAACAAGGTTTAATCAATTCAATTATTCAGTGTTAAAAATTACTATTTTTACAAATATATTTATGAAAGTGCCTAAAAATAACGATATTTTCTGGGATTGATTTAATCTTTAGCTTAGTTCTCTTGTGTTTTTTGACAAAGTTAAGTCTTGCGACTCCCTTTAATATACGTTCCGGCATACCATGACTTAAATTTACAAAATTAAGAAAAATATAGTTTTTGACATTCTAAAAAGTAACAAAGGAATGTATGTCTTTTTTCTATACTAATATTATAAAGAGGTAAAATTTGTAAGTTTGTATGTTTGTATGTAGGGGTGACCTTTGGAACCGCTGGTCGGATTGACAAAATTCTTTCACTGATAGATAGCTACAATGTTCCTTAGTGCTAAAGGGTATAAAACATCACGCTACGATCAAATGGAGCCGAGCAGCGAGTGAAACCGCGCGGGAGTAGCTAGTATGTCATAAGTTGGCAAACGAGCAGACGGATTACCTGATGGTAACTCGGTAGTACCTACCAGGAAGTTACTACAGGTGCCTTGCCGACCTCTTGAGTGTTATTGGGGATTTAAAGGATTGAGGATAGGAGGGGAGGAAGAATTGGGTCTCCGGTAACCTCACTTACACTGCGAAATACAACGCTGTGATTGTTTCACGCCGGTTTTCTGTGAGGCCGTGGTATCACTCCGGTCGAGGTGACTCATTCGTGCCGAAGCATGGCTCTCCCACATTTACTTATTTACTTCAGATGGGCGTATCGTTATACCGTCGTGACATACACAACATTTCCTTGAAGCTGCGCGCCGCTAACGAGATCATTCAGTACACCATACTGCAGATATTCCCCTTCACCAGTGAGAGTAAAATGATGGGCATCATTGTTCAGGTGAGTTTCTATTTCTGTTTATTTAGTATTGATTGATTCAAAATCATTTATTCCAACTAAACTATAAATAGGTACTTTTGAAATGTGAAAATATAATAAATAGCCTGTCAGTTTTCTCCTTATTTAATCTCATTAAGAATGTTTAAATATCTGATTATGAGCTAAAATGCTCTTTTTAAAGCACCAGTGTGACTTTTCAAAAGCTACACTTATGTACTTTCTAAGTTTATTTAGACATCACTGACAAACAGTGAAGGAAAACAACGTGAGGAAACTCGCACTTATCCAGACTAATATTATGCATAATAGGTACATTCGAAAGTAACACTGACACTCCGTCTGTCTTTTCTTCACGCCTAAACTACTGAACCATTTTTTGTGAAATTTAGTACAGACATAGTTTGGAACTCGAGCAAGGACATAGGATAGCTTTTATACCAAAAATCTGCAGGAAAAAACTATTGTACGCGAACGAAGTCACGGGCAAAAGCTGGTAGTTTGTAATTATACGTTTGAAATTGCCAATCCGACCTTGAGCAAGAGTGGTTATTAACGCTCAAACTTTCTCCGCGTGAGAAAAGGCTTTTGCTCAGCAGTGGGCACTCATAAGCCGGTTACACCAGACAATCACTATAGCTAAAAAAATCAGTAAGACCTGCGTTTGACAGTATCATGTGTTACATTATATAGAAAATGCAAACATGTTAACTCCTTTTTATAGTTACTTTAGACCCGGATCTAACAGTCCATTGTTTATTTTTGTAGGAAGAAAACACAGGTGTAATAACATACTACGTAAAAGGTGCTGATGTAGCGTTATCCAAGTTACTGGACTCGCAGTGGCTCAGCCCTGAATGCAAGAAGTTGGCTGCAGACGGATTGAGGACTCTGGTCATGGCTAAGAGGACTCTTACCAAGGAAGAGTATCTGCAGTTTGAGGTGAGTTGACTGTCTGTTTTTGGGTAGTTTTGTGGAGTATAAGGTGAATAATAATAGTAAAAATCCTCTTTACGCAAACACATGGATTGATATACTATGTATTTATATTACATCCGCGCGAGGTCACAAAATATTTGAAATCGACTTTAAACAATGAGGTGCTTGTGCATTGCCATCACCACTGAGCCATATGTTACGGAATAAAACAATAATTCTAAAAAAAAAACAAAAACTTTTAAACTAACTATAAATAAAACAAATATCTGCTATTGATAAAATACAAAAATGAATACTTTCAATTGTAATTGTTTCTTACCAGACCGAGTACAAAGAGGCTCGTTTGAACGCGAACCGAAGCGAGCACACGTCGGCAGTACTAGCCAAGATACAACGAGGCATGACGCTACTCGCCCTCACTGGAGTGGAGGACCGACTGGCTGACGACGTGCCAAGGACACTTGCTATGCTTAAAGCTGCTGGGATTAAGGTATTTTGAGCGATTTTTATTAGATGTTTTAGTATTATTGATGAGATGAGTTTGAGGTAATTTTATGCTGTGTACTTCCATTAGCAAAGTCAGTATTATATATTAAAGTCGAAGTTATTCGATGCTGTAGTGATTCACTAACAAAGCCGTGCTTCGCTCGTTTGTTCCAAGTTAGCTTATCTTATAGAAACTAAAGCACACTGTTTTTTGGATACATTACTCGCGAAGTTTCTATCAACTGTGCTCAACATGTACCATCTTTGTACTATGAGAAGTTCACAAGCTAACCAGTTATTTAAAACTTCTTTAATAACTTAGAAACTTGTAGTTAGAAACACGCATCGTCATCAACAAAAATCTATATCATCCTCCACGCGCCGCTCCTCTTTTATCTTTCACGCTGAACACTCGCGCCGCTAGTTATTAATTATACGCCTTATATATTACTTTTGAAGAAGATTTTTATTTATCTCCTAACAAACTAAAGTCTTATTTTCAATTTTCATGTTACAGATTTGGATGTTAACGGGCGATAAGCTGGAGACGGCGCTGTGTATCGCGCGGTCCCTGCAGCTGGGGGGCGGGGTCACGTGGCACTCCGCGCGCCCCTGTAGGGGGAGGGGGGATGCGCACGCGCTGCTGCAGGCCTTGCGAGCCGCCGGGGATACTGTCGACCTTATCATTGAGGGGGAGACGCTTGAGGTATGGGTACACTAAATAATTCACATATTTTATACTGTTGAATTATTAATGCCCGATTTCCGAAAGCCCGAATTATATTAAAATCAACTAACTAGGTGTCAAATCTCTTGTCAAGTCATCTGATTGGTTGTTGATAATTCAGTCAACCAATCAGATGACTTGACAAGAGATTAAATAGATTTTAACATTGATCGGCCTTTCGGAAACCCGGTGTAAATGTAGGATTTTGGAATGCAATGTATGGATGTATGTTAGTTATTCATTCCTTCTTGCAAAAACGGCTCTACCTATTTGGCTGAAATTTTGTATGAAGGTAGGTGATACCCTGTATTAACACAAAGGTTTCATAATTAACATAATATCGGGGTATGGGGTAGAAGCTAGTAATATTATAAGTTTTACTTATGTATATTCATGTTGATTTGTTGCCAGAGTAATGTTTTTTTTTTAAAAAAGCGTTGGCCGGCCCTATGATATTCTCCTGTGGTGTGAGTGCGGTTACAAACATACAATTTCACATGCATTTGACACCTAGACCAGGAACCTGTGAATCACACAAAGATTTGTTCCGAGCGGGAATCGAACATGGCAGTCAGTTGCCCAGCCACCGCACTAGCCGTGCAGTCATTCATTCATAGTTCGACCTGTAGGTGTGCCTGCAATCGTACGAGGAGGAGTTTGTGGAGGTGCTGTGTGGGTGTGGGGGGGTGGTGGTGGCGCGATGTTCCCCCACGCAGAAGGCTCGCGTGGCGCGGCTACTGCGCGCGCGGGGACATGTCGTCGCCGCCGTCGGGGACGGGGGGAACGACGTCGCCATGATACAGGAGGCTGATATCGGTACGTACATCCATTGATTCTAAATGAAATGTGTGCCAGAACGTGTTTTATTTTTAAGTAAGCGATTGGACTCTATTTCGCCTCGCTAAAAGTATATGTAAATGTTTCCTGAATAACTTGGATAGCTTCACAAAGAAGGCTGACCGACAGACTGACACTTTTTTATCTTTAAGCTTTGTTCGACATTCAAAAATGCCTGTAAGTTAGAAATAAATGTTCTTGACTTTGTTTTTGTTACTCGTTCACGTATATACTACTGACTGGATCCGAATAAAATATAACACAAAGATTTCTAAGTATGATAATAAAATAGGGTTATTTATATCCTGGTATTGTGTGGTAGGTGAATAAGAAATAATGTGGTGTGTTTGTTGTAGGAGTGGGTATCGAAGGCGCGGAGGGTCGCGCGGCGTCGCTGGCGGGGGACGTGAGCGTGCGCCAGTTGTCGGGTCTGGCGCGCCTGCTACTGGTGCACGGCCGCCGCGCCGCCATGCGCTCCGCCGCGCTCTCGCTCTTCATCGTGCATCGCGGACTTATCGTCTCCACCATGCAGGTCACACATATACTCTATTGTAGTTCTGTATAAGTTTTATCGAAACAACACTGCAACTGGACCGACTTTTTTGTACTCGGATTACATGATGGTAAGCAATCAGCGCCGCCCATGAACACCCGCAACAACAAAGCAGATATGAGTGCGTTGTCGACCTTTTGGGTTTGGGGATTGGGGGAGGGGAGGGATTGGGCTTCCGGCCTTATGTGTTAAGACCGGCCATTGTAATCACAACATTGTTTCATAGTATCCAATATAAAGTATATATACCTAAATAAATAAACGTTCAAATCAAATTGCCATGTGATTGGGTTACTGGAAGCTTAATTATAGAGCACCCTTCTTGGGCAAAGCCCAACTCCTCAGGTCATGCGAGTACCAATAACAGGCACCAATTGATTACAACCAGATGAGCAAGCAGGTTGGTCGGCCTATCTGTGAAAGTATAATTATTTACTATATTTTGAATAGTTGTAAATTGAGGAAACCAGCAAATTTTTTATCGGACTCAAAATGTCAATTACGAATTACAAGATATAATGTTTTCAATTGATGAATTCATGTTGGTAGTTTATTATTCTTTGAATGCCAAGTAAAAGTTTGATTATAATTTAGCACAGCATTATTATGTTAAGAGTTTTCATCTATACTAATACTATAAAAAGGTAAACGTTTGTATTTTTTTTATGTAATAGAACGGCAAACGAGCACCCGGATTACCTGATGGTAAGCAATCAGCGCTGGCCAAAGACATCCGCAACGGAGGAGTTACGAGTGCGTTGCCGACCTTTTAGGGATTAGGGATTAGGAGATTTAGGGATTGAGGAGGGATAGGGGGAGGGGAAGAATTGGGCCTCCGGTAACCACACTCACACGACGAAACATAACGCTGTGGTTGTTTCACACCGGTTTTCTGTGAGGCCGTGGTATCACTCGGGTCAAGCCGACCCATTCGTGCCGAAGCATGGCTCTCCTACACTTGTATGTATGTTTTTACTAGTATGTTCCTGAGTGCTACAGGCTAGAAATTATTTATGCGCGTGCGTAGCCGTAGGCGGAAGCTATTTATGTAATCAACAAAAAGATCCGACGTTTTGTAAAAAAAATGTTTTAATTTCAGGCTGTTTTCTCCGTTGTGTTCTACTTCTCTTCTGTGTCTCTATACCCTGGCTTCCTGATGGTCGGCTACGGAACTGTCTTCACTATGCTGCCTGTGTTTTCGTTGGTGAGACAATTTTTTTTTTTTTTTTGCTATTTTTAACTTGTTTTTTTCGTCAAGCTTGTGACATAACATAAAGGTCTAATGTTAAAATAACATTATTATATGATTTGTAAACATGAATATATTTATCGTAATTCTGTATTAATTTAGTTATGTTGTGTAACAACGTGTTACTTATTAGACCGTCATACGTCTCAGAGATTTCGAATGAGCTATGGGTCATCAAAATGCCCTAGTAATATGTAAAAACTAAAATCGAATAGCAATATTTTTGTATTTTTTATATGATAGGACGGCAAACTAGACTACTGATTACCTGGTGGTAAGCAATTAGCGCTACTCGTGGATACCCGCAACAACGGAGGAGTTACGAGTGCGTTGCCGACGTATTGAACATAAGAGCTTAGAGATTTAAGGATCAAGAAACACAACGCAGTGGTTGTTTCATGCCCGTTTTCTGTGAAGCCGTGGTATCAATGCGGTCGAGATGACACCCACTCGTTCTCGCCCACACTCGTATTACTAGAATTTACTACATCGTAATGTGTAACTTCTTCAGGTGCTTGACAAGGATATACCGAGTATAACGGCGCTTAGATATCCCCAACTGTACAAGCAACTCTCTAAGGGACGGCAGCTGTCTTACAAGTCCTTCTACATATGGACAGGCATATCTATTTATCAAGGTACGTACGCATACTTTAAAATACTTTTTATTCGATAATATGATACCTAAATGGCTAGAGGCGAATCACATCAATATCAAAGAAATAAAGTATTCAATTTAAAGAAGAAATAACAAAAAAGCCAAACGAGCAGATGGTCTACCTACGAAGCAATCGGCGCCGCCCATGGACATCCACTTTACCAAAGGAGTTATGAGTGTGTCATCTTTTGGGGATTAGGGATTTGGAGATTTAGGAATTAGGGGAGGAGAGATTTGACCCTTCGGTAACCTCACACACACGACGAAACACAACGCTGTGGTTATTTCATGATGGTTTCCTTTGAGGCCGGTTCGAGCCGACCCATTCGTGCCGAAGCATGGCTCTCCCACACTTACTACCTTTCGTGGTAAAATAATGAACTACTTTAATTTATTTCTTCTCAACAGGTGGAGTTATAATGTACGGCGCTTTAGTATTATTCGAGGACCAATTAATTCATATAGTCGAGATCAGTTATACGGCACTGATCCTCACTGAACTTATAATGGTTGCCCTGACCGTCGTCACGTGGCACTGGCTAATGGTCGTCGCGGAACTTGTCAGCCTACTCATGTACATCGCCACGCTGCTTATATTCACTACGTATTTCGGTAAGTCATTTGTTTGTGGATTTTTTTTTTTGTAAAAGGTCGGCAAACGAGCAGAAGGATTATCTGATGGTAAACAATCAGCGGCGGAGTTACGAGTGCGTTGCCGACCTTTTTTAGGGATTATGGTTTTGGAGATTTAGGGTTGAGGAGGGATTGGGGGAGGGGAAGGATTGGGCCTCCGGTAACCACACTCGCACGGCCAAACACAACGCTGCGATATTTATACTTAGTGGTGGCATAGAATTTATCTATATACTATTATTAATATATATATATAGAGCTGTAGAATTTGTTTGTTTGAATGCGCTAATCTCCGGAACTACCGGATCGAATTGAACAATTCTTTTTGTATTGGTTAGTCCATTTATCGAGGAAAGCTATAGCATATAAAACATCACGCTACGGTATGTAGGAGTCGCACAGCGGGTGAAGCCACGGGGCAGTAGCTGTTAATTTATAATCTTCTGTACATATGAAAGAAAGTCGTGCTAAATCCACTATTTATAACACAAGAACGGCTGAACAGATTTCGTTGAGATTTTTTGGGAGTTTAGAACCAGAATGGGCCAAGTATTAATTTAGAAACTTTTATACCAGTATTGGTCCCATTTTAAACAAAAATCTCGGGTATTAGTTGGCTTTAAAATTGCCCTGGCTTTTCGACAACTTATAGCACAAACTATATTGTAAATGACAAAATATTCTTCAACAGATGGCGACTTTATTCGACACTGGGAGTTTTGGTGGAAGGTAATTGTAATAACTCTAGTGTCTTGCCTACCTCTCTACATAGTCAAGCACATGCATCGGAAATGGAGCGACCGTCAGTACAAAAATATAAGAAAATGATCTTTATTAGTAAGTAGTTTAGGTAAATAATACAATGTGATTCACTTTTATCATAAGATCTTGTTGCACATATGATGATTATTTATAATGTTAGGGTTTTTTTTTTGGTTAGACTGTGTGTGTGAATTTTCTATGTTACACTAGATTCTGTCAGTTGCTTTACGAGCAGTCGTCATCATCAGCCTATAAGTGCCCACTGCTGAGCAAAGGCCTCTTCTCATACAATGCGGGTTGGCGATTTCAAACATATAATTAGAAATTATAAGACCAGGTTTCCTCACGATGTTTACATTCACCGTAAGTCAGTGGTGTCTTAAATAACTCGGAAAAAGTCACATTGGTACTTGTCAGGTTTCGAACCTACACCTTCATGCATGAGAAGCGAGCTCCTTAACCTCCGGGCCACCACGGCTTTTTTTTAGCTTTTATTACGAGTAGTAGGGGGTTAAAAAGTAGCGTATAGGTCATTCAGTCAGACTATAATCAATTTTTATGACAGTTTTCGTTTAAATTCAATCAGTTTTAACGCTGAAAGAATAACAAACATCCATCCAAATTGATATGAATACAAACCTGATCTCCGCCTTGAGTAAGACAGGTACAAGACTACGGTATTTGAAATTATCAGTCTATAAGTGCCCACAGCTGAGTAAAGGCGTCTTCTCACGCGGAGAGGTTTTGAGCATTCATCACTACGCTCAAGAGGGTAGAAGTCCTGATTTCCTTGACGATGTTTTCCTCCGCTACCTGTCAGTGGTATCTAAATACACTTATAAAGTAAAATGTAACTTGGAAAAAGACACATTGGTATTTGTCAAGTTTTACACTTCACATAGAAGCAGGAGTTATAACCTCGACCTCATCATCACCCCTCGAATAGGAGTTTTCATACAGCTATTCTTTGGAGGGATTTATGTTCCACCTAGTTTCAGAACCTTTGGTTAACTTCTTGGCAGAATTAAAACGAATACCACACACGGTTCAACCAATTAATGATTATAATTCTAGTATTAGTATATAGTAAGTTACTGAATATACTCTCTCATATTCTAAAATTAAATATTCTGTCGTTACCTTGTTAGATTAAGAATATAGATTATATCAAGTTGAACACTCGCCTTTTTAGCCACTACTACAATTTTGTTTAATGTATTTATTAGTTTATTTAGATTATACACGTTTATATGCTTATTTATTGGTGTGTTCAAAAAAGGGGCTATAGCGTATTTTTTTCTATCAACCCTGAATAGCAATTTTCTGTAATTTTTACATACTATGTTTTTTTTTGCTGTATTTATCCCAACTTTCTGAGTATCAACTCTATAAGCCATCTTTCTCTTTTTTCCCCCCTTTTTTTCTGGCCTTTTTTAATTTTGTTGATCAACAAAAGACGCTAAAGTGATTCCTTTTCCTTAAAAAAGTTCTCGAAAAGAGTATAATACATATGTATATTCTATTATTTATTTTCGTAATACTGTTTTTTTAATATCATTTTATGTATAAATATTGTTCTTTATTTAAAATAGCTTTTATCACGATACGCAATAAATCAACTCTAATATAAGTAAAATAAATCGCCTTTCTAGTTTTTGTAAGCAACTTTTTTTTCTAATGCACGGAAATGTGAATCTTATGTATACCTGTATGGGAGTTATATCTGCCGTTTGTCGATTGTACCATTTTAGATTGGCCATAGATATACTATTACATAGAAGACGTCATATTATAAATTACATTTTATATAAATTACATTTAGGGCTAATTTTTCAATGGTTGGATAAAAGTTATCTGGGGAATAATTATAATGCTGTCGCGTCAGAATGTTTCCATAAGACAGTGACAGCAACAATTTTATTCCTCAGATAGCAGTTATCTGACTATTGGAAAATCAGCCCTGAATGTATGTATCTATTAAAAATTTTGAATAAATCGCTGTTCTTTAGAGAAAAAATATTTTGCTTGCAATACTTTTGTACATCCGTATCACGGTTTCTATCTATGTAATAATAATACAATGAACGTCACTGATCGGTTAGATAGGATCAATTAAAGTATTGTATATTATAACTATACAACAAGTTATTAGGTATGTGTATATTATGTACTAATCTCCTACGAATTATGTATTATTATAGATAAGGTATACACGAATCAAAAGAATTTTACAGTTGGTTCTTACGTCTTGATTCAATATAGATCTTATTCCAAATAGCGTTAGGTATAATTTACATTAAGTAATCCTTTTAAAAAACAGAGGACGCAATTTCCGAAAAACTTTGGTTCATTTCGAAGAACATAAAAGTTGCCAATGAAAAATCAACATTGGACTTCATACAAATAAAAACGACTTTGCTTTGTAGTAAGGACAATCCGACTGTAAAATTCAATAATGATATTAGTTTTTGAAGAATAATATTATAGTTCCAATTACACCAAGGGCTGTGTAAACACAAAAATATATATAATACTGCAGATAGACAGACAAACAGTTCATATAGGATCTGCATGACAATATAAATAAATCGTATAATTAATAGAAAACAGAACAAACTCATAAAAGAGGATATTTGAAAAGTGAACCTTATTATTGATACATAAATTTTAAGATTCGATTACCTTCTTTATGAGTTAGGCTTTTTTTCTATTACGCATACGAATATGTTAGGTAATTTAACAAGAAAACTGTTTTGCTAGTTATGTACAGAATGATGATGATCCACAAAGGTTGTTTATGGAGACGCGGCGCCTCGTGCGTAGTTCATTGCTCGTTATATTTGTATTCGCACGAGCCATGAGTCGCCCCGATGACGCAATGAACGACGAACGCCTAACACCCACGTCTCTGTGAATGAGCATAAAAGTGTTCTTGTTTCTACGTACATAAGCGTTAAAGTGGTGTTTTATGGGTCGCGTAATTTACCTTTTTTTCTTATTTCATGTGTATAGGTTTTTACATCTTCGCTTAGCGTATTGCGATTCTTACATACTGTATTTTTTTCGAATTTCCCCTCATTTTTTTTCACAGTATGTCCGTAGTGTCTAATAATCATAGACAGTGTATACAACTCGGAAAAGTCATATTGATACTTGCCAGATTTCGACCCACACACATGAGATGCACATTTTACAATTTAATTTACGCAACTCATAAAGTAACGTCTTTTACTTTCTACTGCAAAAATATAGCTTTCTTATTTATTTAATCTATTGTTTAAAAATATCTTAATTTTTATATCTAGATTTTCCGTTTATGGTTACAATTTTGTTTTAATAATTTATTTTTGTTATGAACTCTTTTTGTATATTTTGTTTTCAATAAGAACGCTGTGATTGAATAATATTTACGAGCTAGGTAAAAGCGTAGTGGCAATTCCATAGGACCATAGTTGTTTATTTGACGTAACAATGATTGGCGGGAAAATATTCTGGTCTGTACATTTTGAGCGGTCGCAAATTGTGCTATGAAAAATTAATTGTTTTTTTCTTTTTCTACAGTTCAGTACAGGCACAAAATAAACATAGGCTAGTTTATGCTTAAAATATGTTTCTTTTATTTCAATTTATTGGCAACTCACACTCGTTATAAACCTGGCACCGCAAATTTACTTCGAATCGAAACGTCGCGTTGGTTTGGGAAACAATTATTTTCCGAACTTTTTTCTGGGGGGTGACTCTATTACTCAAAAATTAAATGCAACTTATTAATCCGAAAATGCCTTATTGGCCAATAGACCTTATACTACACTAGCGCCTCTGATGGTGCAGAAACCTTAATTGGATCTAATTTTTACTAGAAATAAACTATATGGGCAGCATAACTTTCTTCTTTCTTCAGTAAATATTATTTTAAATTAGACTGTGATCAGTGTTTGGCTGCTGATTATTTTTGAATGTTTTTGTATTTGTATAAGACTCTTGCATCAAAAGTTATTCCATGAAATTTTTCGCCAATCGTTCTCTTTATCACATACTTTCGAACAAGGTACAAATTGTGTTAAATGTGATAATTATGTATAGTATTTATTGGTTAAAAATATATTATTGTATAGATATAAGTATTGTTAAGCGTTGGTGCGTCATGGCAGTATGTTAATCATAGGAATATTGTTCTGAAAATTAAATATTTTATATGACAAATTGTGTTTTTGTTGTTAAAATATATCCTTAATCAATAGAGTCGATTTGTCAAAAAATATGTTGCAGGGAGGAATACATATTTTTTTTTTCTTGACTTTGCACGGTTTGTGTATAAAAAAGGTATAATCCGACGAAAATAAATAGATCAAATCAAATCAATCAAATCAAATTCTTTATTTCAAGTAGACCACAAAAGGCACTTTTGAACGTCAAGCTGACAGACATTTTCGAAAAGGAGTTTTTATCAAAAGATCCAACCAAAAGTCACAGCAAACTGATTTCACCTTTTCTTTGCATGATTTTGTCAATTTTGACAAACTGTCATTAACGTACAAGTGATCATGAAGATTTTTACAAACACATTTTAAATTCAATGTTATTTCTTATGGTTGTTCTATTTTCTAACATAGCTTACGTTAGCAATAAGAATGCGGGGACTGCATTATTTGACACTGGAAGAATTCGATCTAACTGCTGGACCCAAGATGATATAGCCAAGCTGAAGGCACGGAAACATTTTGAGGAGTTGATTCCACCGCAGCTGAGCCCGGATAGGGTCGACAGTCAATATATCAAACGTCTTCTGAAATACTTCAAGACAGCGCTGCATACAGTACAAAATGAAGGGGATTTTAAAACTGCCATAATACTAAAAGAAGCTTTATCTGACACTATCGGTGCACATCTCAAAAGTGAAATCCTACCCACTGTCAGATTCAGTTACTACGCTGGCTACATCCCTTACAAACATGCTCGGGAAATCCACGACTTTTACGAAGACATCAAAGTGAAGATGAATACCCAAGGCTTGGGATGGAGGCGGCCCGAACGAGTACCTCAGTGGTCCAACCTGACCGTGGCTAAAATTCTTATCGGGTCCGGGAAACTTTTAGACCCTTGCGCCTGCCTAGTAACGAGAAGAGACGCGAATAATTGTATTCATTTACCAGCTCCCAAGTTGGATGACGAACAACAACCATCAGCTATCGCCCTGCCTTTCAGATCAGACGGACTGGTCAGTTTGACGGCTCCCACCTCGGAGAATATTCTTTTGAAATACTATACGACTGCGTCGAGGTGCATACTGCACAGCTCTCCAGCAAGCTGTCGTCACGCTGACTTCGTTAACTTGAATAATGAGCTCTGGCACTGGATGAAGCGGGATGTGGCTCCACACCTTGTCGACGAAAAGTTGTACACGGCATACGGCGGGGTTCTTAGAATAGCAGCTGCTGTACAGAACTACGGAAAAGGTTTGTCAAGACGTAATCTTTTTGAATACCGCGATTCCGGCGTAACTCAATGGAATCCATGGAAATCTCTCGCACAGTCTTACATATATATAAACGCAGACTGGACCCCTAAACTGTACATTGGCTTGGTATTTTTGACTGCGTTGACAATATGCCTTTTGCAAATGTTATATAATTACTTGTTTGGGGAGGCGAACGCATGCGGCTGCAAAGGAAAATCGAAACACACTATGTCAAAAGAAATTGCTTATACAACTGTAGATAGTAACTTGCCATCCGTACTGCCGCGCCAAAGCACTGTCTGTTTTAGTGAGAAAAAACGCATGAAACGTTTGTCTTCCAGGAGCAAACCGTCTTCTATAGGATCTTTGCGTACTCAGAAAGTGTACGATTTAAATGAGAACACAGAGAAGCTTATGGACGTAATAATAAGTGACAATGAAGAAACTGAAGAGCCGCGGTCGTCGCCCTCTAAGGTGGAAAGTGAGGAAGAACGTCGTGAAGACAAACGTATGGCTATCGCTGATGTAGCCAAAAAGGCAGGGGATAGACCGAAAAGTCCACCGAAACTAGAAACATCTGTTGCACAGTTGACAATTGAAAAAACGAACTCTACCGATAAAAAGCCTTCAGTACCGATGTATTCTACTAGTACCCTTACTCGGTCGGATATTACCTACCGCCCTGATAAAATAGTAAGTGACACTGGCTGGTCTGCAACCAGCAGTAGTACTTCTGGGAAGTCTGTTAGTTCAACTAGTTCTAAATCTCGAAGTGCAAGATCGAGAAGCTCCCGGGACTTGGCGTGGGCCCGGCACGTGATATCCAGGCACTCTCGCAGTGATATAATGCAGTCCACTACTGGGACAGAGTTGGAAGAGAACTCTTTCGTAGCTCCTCCGCCCCGGCGGTAGCGATTCCTTGTGACAATTTACGTTGATAGGTATTTATTTCTAGGATGTTTAGTTAGTATTATTATATAAGACTGTTGGATATTTAAGATGTATATGAGGTTTTAATAAGATTATATTGTAACAGGTTCATTGTTTATTTATTTCAATTTGGAAAACGTATTTACGGAGAACATTACAATAAGCGCCGCCCATGGAAAGGTACTCGCACAGTCCAATCCTCGAGAGGGTAGACAGATTTGCGCATGTTCAATATAAATAAAACTCTCATATTTTCCGACTATTACTGTTACCATTACCGTGGGTAAGTGAGCGACTATATAGTGATAACTAACCTAAGCAATATATATTTAGAATGAGAAGGTATTATTAACAAGTTCTGAATTCATTTCTTTTTATTTTCAAGTTGGCAACTAAATAGTATAATTTATAAAAGGAATAATGGCAACTCAGTAAGTTTAAGTCAATGTCAGTGTCAAACTGGATTTGATTAACAAAAGGCGCATTTCGCGGCGAAGTGTTCGTTAAATTTTCTTACAAATCTCATAAACTTCGCGCAAAAATTGTCTGATAAATATTTTAAGCAAATCATGATAACAGTGTCTTTGTCTTAAATCCATTATATTTTACTTTACTACAATATGTCTAGAGTAAGTACGAACCTATTATGTTTCCTCAATGAATACTGTGTGAAAAATTGTTCTTTAAATTTCATATATTTTATTAAAAAATCTTGTTGTACTTGTGTATGTTTTGCCATTACTATCAGTTGGTCATATAAACTTGGAGATATTTATTATAGATCTGATAGTTATACTGCCATAATATTTGAAATCTTAAAAGCATAACAGTTGACTCTCTACGTACATAATTATATTGAACTGTTTACTATTTATCTTATAAAATTATCGATTTGTAGCTAAGTAATTAAATGTTTTCAGCCAACCCGATAGTATTAGCTTTAATGATAAGCCAATGCACTCATCGAGATTACACTGTTTTCAGGATATAAGATCGTTTTTTCAACCTAAAAAGCCGCCGAAACCGGCCACCGCTGTTGATGATGATGACGATGTTATTCCAGAATCTCCAGACGTGCAAATAATTAAGAATAAAGTAAGTGCTTCTATTATTATATTTTTTTATATTTTTAGGAAACTAACAGTCTCTTATATACTCATGATTACAGTAAAATTAAGACATACAGACTTTGAGTTCCATAACATTAAACTGTCTCTTAATGCTTCAACCAGTAATACATAGTCTAGTATAAAAACTTTGGATGTCAAATAACAGTATTGAATTTACCAAATTAACTTTTTTCTACAGAAGAAAGAATCAAAGAAAAGACGTGTTATAGATGATGATTCTGATGAGGAGATATTTACATCTAAAAAAAAGAAAAATGAATCTAGCACTGAAAAAACAGGTCAAACATCAAATAAGAATAAAAGTAAGTCGCCAAAACCTGCCCTCAAGGAAGTCAAAGTGATTGATATGTTTGGTAATGCTCCTATAAAGCGCACAGAGCCATTAGTAAAGAAAAAGAAAAAAACTGAGCTAGGCATCCACTCGGATGATGAATTTGAAAAGAGTTTACTAGAAATTGACAATGCAGAGCTAGAAGGGAAAATTAACGATGACAAAGTGTCTAATGATGATAAAGTCAAACCAAGTAGTGAGAAGGCGACATTGTCGAAATTAACGGAGGAACCAAATAAAGAAAGTAAGACATCACATGACAAGAAACACAAAAGTACTTCAGAAGTGAAAAAAGATGAGCATAAATCAAGCAAAAGTGAGAAGGCAAAGTCTGAAGAAAGCAAAGAAAGTAAGCATAAATCTGATGAAAGCAAAGAAAGTAGACATAAATTGAATGACACAAAAACAAAGAAACAAACAAAAGATGACAAAAAACCAAATCATACTTCAACAGCACACTCAAATGATGGTGAAAGCAAAAAATCTAAAATTGAAAATAGTAAGAGAAAATTTGCTGAGTTTGTTGATGATGATGTTAATGAACATGGTAATAAGAAGAAGAAAGTAGAAGAACAGGAGCAAGAGAGCAAACATAAATATGATGGGGATTCTTCTGTTATGGATGAAAGTATGGAGGCTGGTAAGAAACGGAAGATGAATAAGAGTTTGAATGAATCAGGTAAACATGATTTATGTAATATTTAATTTCTTATAAATATATTAAAATATAAGTATGGGAGATCCAAGCTTCGGCACGACTGGGTCGGCTCGACCGAAGTTATATCACAGCCTCACAGAATACCTGTGAAACAACCACTGCATTGTGTTTCGCGGTGTGAGTGAGGTTACCGGAGGTCCAATCCCGCCCCTTCCCCTATCCCTTCCCGATCCTTATATCCGCAACCTCTAAAAGGCCGGCAACACACTCGTAACTCCTTTGATGTTGCGGGTGTCCATGGACGGCGCCGATTGCTTACCATCAGGTAATCCATCGGCTCGTTTGGCGACTTATACCATAAAAAAAATATATATAAAATAATAATCCCATGTTGTTTGCTCCACTCCAAGGGCTTCTCATATAAAGCATTGAAGCACTAATCACCACACTATATCAGGGAGAATTGGTGGATTAACAAACATGCTCCTAAATTTAATGATTTACAATTCCTATTGTTTTTATTTCAGTTCTAACAGATGAAGAACGACATGAAAGACGAATGCATTCAGCTGCTTTGTACAAAAACTATTTGAACAGATCTGGACCAAAACATTTAGGAGCTAAAGAAATCCCTGAGGTAACTTATTAGTCCTTCTGTTATTTATTTGAAACACTGGCTCTATGGGGCTATACCATAACTCAAGTTTTGTAATGAGATTTCCAATAATAAAAATTTCAACTCGTCTAAGAATGCCTTCATTAAAGAATTAGTTCTAGTTGAATATATGACATGATAAAATATATGTGTTTTTAAAATTTCAGGGAAAACCAGACTGTTTGAAGGATTGTGCATTTTTGTTGACTGGGGTGCTGGACTCGTTTGAGAAGGATGAGGTAGCTGCAGCTATCACCAAATACGGAGGGTGTGTTAAGTCTGGGGTTTCCAAAAAAGTAAGTTCTAATTTATTCTTATTATTACAGAAGAGGACAATATTAACTTATATGTAGCAAGGGTCCAAATTATAAACAGTTAATTAGGGTGTTTACAAAGTCTGAAATTATAATTTGTTTGTTGGTATTTTGTGTCGTAAAAATACTTTTAGTAACCGCTGTATAATCTGGGGATAATGCCATACGTGACTTTGTCCAGCTGTGGTTATTGATGATACCTTAAACACTCATATCCATATCTACATCTCTATGGGATGGTCATGGATGGCCGTCTTCATCTAGTTTTTTCACATATACCTATTTTTGATATTTAAAAGTGCTGTTTTATGGCCTATTTACAAAAGTAAATTCATTGTTTCAAAATCCAAAACAATTCTTTCAACTAAACAATATACTTGTACCTACTTTCAAAATGCCAAATTAAAAAAAAATGCTGTACTGATGGCAAAAGCTAATAATTATATATTCTTGTTCCCAGGTTACACACGTGATCGCTGGTGAAGACGCTGGCCCAGCGAAAATGGCGAAGGCCCAAGAGCTAGGAATCAAAATTATTAATGAAGATGAATTCCTAAAAATGATTGTAGATCGATCACAAGAAAACTACACCAGTAAACCGGAAATTAAAAAAGAAATCAAACAAGAAAAGACTCTTAATAAATCAAAATCGAAAAGTCCAAAGGATAAGAAAGATAATCATGTTGACAAGTCTAGGAAAAGCCCGGACAGAATTAAGCCGGAAACTAAAGTTAGGGACAAAAGTAATGATAGTAAGAAACCTGAGAAGTTTAGTCCAAAAAAAATCAAGGAAGAAAAAGTTGAGGCAAGTTCCAGCTCTACAAACAGGAATCAAGTTAATAGTAAGTATTTTAAATTAATTGTACTCATGCACTTGTGGGTCTAAAAGGAAATTATTGTATGCATTTTAAAATGTAAGACACTCATTGTAGTCTTTAATAACAAATATCTATACTTACTCCAAGAAGCAAAACCCGTTTTTTTAAAGTTTAGTCTGTGTGTAAATGTACAATATTTCCTTTTTAATTCATTCATTGGGTTGTAAAACATATCTCATTTAAAAGAGTTATGATGGAATAGAATATTATCCATTCTTTCTTTCTTTTCCTTTTGAAAGAGCACTTATTTTTACTGGGGGTCGGAAATGGCAGACCCTTGTTCTATTTTTGATATATCAATGGAACCTATGGCCTTTAAAGACTAAACGAGTATATTATATAAAATATAAACTAATATTATAAAGCTGAAAAGTTTGTTTGTTTGTTGTATCGCGCTTATCTCAGGAACTACCTGGTTCGAATTGAAACATATGGCATATGGCTTTAGGCTATAAAACATCACGCTACGATCTGTAGAGGCCGAGCAGCTGGTGAAACTGCGCGAGAATAGCTAGTAAAATAATATTTTATCTCGTCTCATTCTGGGCTAGTTATATCATGACAACTGTAAACCTCTTTCAAGTGCGAAATATATTACTTACTGTGGTGTAGTGTATCGTGTTGCCCCAATAGCCTATCGGTTTCATACACTCACTATAGGTAGACACAAACTTGCGATCGGCTTGAATCGTGTTGTGTGCTGTCAAATGTATATTTATTTATTTACAACCTTCCGTCCGCGGCTTTGCCCGCGCGCTACGTGTTAATCCAGATTCACCTATCTAAATACCAAATCGGTCCAGCCGCTTTTCTGTTACCTTGACGAAAACATTTTCACAAGCTTTCACATTTATAATAATAGTAGGATAGAAGGATTTTGTAAAATGTTACCTAGATCAAACAACAGAATTACCCAATGCGATAGAAAGGCGATACAAAATCTACTCACAAATCTAATGTAAAAAAACAACAATATTCTTAAAATTAAAACTTGTTATTTTTATCTATATCAAAATCTTATATTATTATCACTCGTATTGTTTATAAAAATATTATTATACTTATTTCTTTATTAGATTCCGTCTATGTGTTATTCCAGGGGCTTTCTGTCGCGCCACAAGTGTGTCTCGAACCTTATTGTTCTGCGACCCTCCATTCATTCACTATACCCTTGCTGTTATTTTACTACTTCTCAATAACAAGTTGAAACTTGTCCCAAGTCACTATCAGACTGGAATCACTCACATAAAGTAAAAGCAAACTTTATCCGTATTTTATAATTGGTAAATTATTTATTAGTGTTAAAAGTACAAAAAAAAAAGATGTGTAAGAATAACCATACTTGATGCTCTCGTTTTTATCTATACTTCTGGTAAGTTTATAAGTCTTACTTCACTACATAGCATAAAGCAAAGTCGCTTTCTCAGTTCCTATATCTCTGTGTATGCTTAAATCTTAAAAACTACGCTACGAGTTTTGATGTGGTTTTTTGTAATAGTAAAGTACTTAATTGAAGAGGTAGTAGGTAGGTTTCTATGTAATAATAACATTTATTAAGCAGTCGTGTATATAGTCGAGAATTTTCGTATCAGCATTGTACCCGTGCGAAGCTGGCCAATTCGCTTTTTTATTATAAATCCGAGTTAATTAGTGTGATTGCATGGTTGTTAAACACTATTCATATATGTCTCTACTCTTTGACTAAAAAACTAATCAACGGATTTTGATAAAAAAAAATTAGCACAGAGATATATTATAGTCTGGAATAACGCATTGGCCATTTTAGATCCGAGTAACGCAGGCTAAGCCTCTAATAAAAGCTAGTGTTTGTGTAAATACCAATCTAAATAAAAAAAAACTTGTCCTAATAAAAACTAACACAAGTGGTTCGGGCGTGTAATGTACTTACAAGCTTCCTATCAATATACCTACCAAATTTCAACCTAAACGGTCCAGCTGTTTTTGCTTGTAAGAATAAGAAAGATATATCCATACATTGTTCTCACAAACTTCTCACATTTATATTATTAATAGGATGATTATGTTTCAATTATACATCATAATGAAAAGTCAAAATAATAATTTTGACCTGGGATACTTTTGTCAGGGGAAAATCATCCAATGACTTCTCACGCCCAGGGTAAGGCCAGAGAGAGTGTCAGACTCTTACTTACTAAAAGCCCCCCCGTTCCTTCTCCTGCTCTGGGCCGAGGTCGCGGTGCCTCATTGCGCTTACCCCGCAACCCCGGCTGATTGACCTAGGATACTACTGAGTTTATTAATCTATTATATTTATGTCTCTTATTACAAATATAAGTTTCTCTTACAGATATAAAAAAAGAAGTGACCGCCATACCAGAGAATACGAATATGTGGGTGGAGAAATACAAGCCACAGAGTATCAAACAAATTATTGGACAACATGGCGACGCGAGCAACGTTAAAAAGTATGTATAGCTCTTATTACAAGTAATTAAAGCTTAAAATCTAATAAGAATTATGTATTAAGTATAATATGGTGTATTCTAATTTCAATCTTATAGATGTATGAAAATTAATAAATGTTCGTTAGTCACGCTTAAAATCGAGAATAGCTAGACCAATTTGGTTCATTTTTATCCTAAAATATTTTTACTAGTCCTGGGAAGGTTTAACAGGTTAAAAACAGTATTTATTGACTATTGGGCAGTAAGAAGCTTATCGAGTCAACTAGTCATCAATAATATCTCACCAGGAGAATCCACTGCCGGATTACAGGCCTCATTTTTAAAAGAGGGGGCTATTATCTCCAAACTTGACAATTAGCGATCGTAGTTTAAATAAATCTAGTACCTTTTTTTATTTTTACAAAACTCTCACATCCTTCCCTGCCGTCACCATCGTATACACCGCGAATACGTACGATATTGGTTTGATAAGATTATCAATATTCGTTTATATGATTACTGAAATAAAGTTGCTTTCAGATTAATGAATTGGTTGACGAAATGGTACGTGAATAGAAAGGCAAAGCTACTCAAACCCAGTCCTTGGGCTAAGAATGATGACGGAGGTTATTACAAGGCGGCTTTACTTTCTGGTCCGCCAGGCGTTGGTGAGTATATTACATTACTTTTTATTTGATTGGTTGGCAAACAAGCATACAGATTACCTGGTGGTAAGCAATCGGCGCCGCCCATTGACATCTTCAACAACAGAGGAATTACGAGTGCGTTGCTGACCTTTTGGGAGTTAGGGATTTGGTGATTTAGGTATTGGGGAGGGGAAGAAAAAAACCTGTGATGTAGATGCTTTAGAAGATAAACATTCACAAAAAATAGTTTTTATTTGACTTTATTTATCTTATCTTATTCGGGAGCTATGCTACGTGTTTACTTCTAGACTATGCTACTGCTTATAAATTCTAAATCAAAAAAATACACGTCGAATTGAGAACCTCCTTTTTTGAAGTCGGTTAATAAACTTGATAAAACTTTTATCGACACGGTCATAGTTCATAGTCACTCACAGAAGTGATATCATGGCCTAAGAGAAAAATGAATAGACCAACAATTTAAAAAGTTAAATCGGGAAGTTATATTTATTTTTATCTTGGTTTGGGTATAAGTTTTGGAAAAAAACAAGCAAGTGTGACTGTACGGATTTCGTTCGCATAGCAAGAGAGCGATTTTATCGTATTACAAGCTGACCTGTTTTTGGCTATTAAAAAATAAGGGTTGATCGTTGAAGGGTGAAAATTGAGGATTGTATGTACTCGTATTTTGTATGTTGTATCATAAAAAAATAGAAATTAAAAATAGTGTCTAAAAAATTAGAGGTAGGTAAGCCGTAATAAAAATATACGGTGATTAGCATAAAAAATTCCATTAAAATCAGTCAAGCCGTTTCGGAGGAGTATGGCAACGAAAATTGTGACACAAGAATTTTATATATTAGATTTTCGCGTCCTCAGATTTTTTGGACGTTATGACAATATAGGTTACGTTTTTCTTTTGACCAATCTGTCTACTTCAGATATTTTTTTTTAATAAATATTATTTTGTTTACACAGGTAAAACAACATCAGTGGCGTTAGTGTGCAAGGAGCTGGGCTTCGACATGGTGGAGTTTAATGCTTCAGACACGAGAAACAAGACGCTCATCAAGGAACAGATCGGACAGCTACTCACTTCCACTTCACTCTCTGCTTTTGCCAATGGTTCGTATATTGTGTTTTTTTTAAGTTGGATGATCATCAAGTTACTTCTTTCGCCTAGGGTATGGCGAGGAGGAGTGTCAGACTCTAACTGATTAAAACCCTAACTAAACTTTCTTGCGCTTGGCTGTATACATGTATATTGTATTGTATAATGCCTTTTTTATGAACAAAGAGCTTTGTTACCACATATAAAGAACAGGAACAAAAAAAAATACTATATAAAAATAACAATAAGAGGGTTTAAAAAAAACGTACTATACTCGGAATTTTAATTCCATTCCAGATTTGACAATTTTAGTGTTGCAACGTTATGACACGTAATAAATAGTGACGTTGTGAAATTATTCGATATGGAAATCGAATATTTCTGAATCGATTCCTCTCGTAAACTAAGTTTATCAGGAAATAAAATATTTCTGGACCGAAAATTTAGTTTTGACAATTAATTAACGATCTGAGACTTTTCTTTTGTAATTGTGTGTGAAATTAATAAAAAATGTGATCATGAAGGAACATGACAAAAAAAACAGACATTTTATAAATTGTCGCCGTCATCGCTATCGCTATCGCTATTACTTTCTGTAACATTTATTATGAATTGTGTCTGTGATATTTATTGTCAATTAACATATCTAGGTTACAAATTTTTTCCTTTTCTTTGACTACATGGGATACGCATTTAGACCATTCGGTAGCCGTAATTTTTTGAATGCCTACCTGGAACTGATTCGCTGATTGTTTATCGATTTTTGTGTTCATCACTATACTGTTATATGTGGTATCATTATTTCACAAAATGACAGTACGTCATGTCAAATATCGTCATTTATCCTTTTTTTAGGTGAGACGGGTAAACAAGCAGTGACCAAGAAACACGTACTGGTCATGGATGAAGTCGACGGTATGGCCGGCAATGAGGATAGAGGTAGGAACACCATTCAATTAGAAATATTATTAATATGTTATGTTAATTATGCTTTTATTGAAAATAAATTTTAATTCTAAGTTCATAAAGTTTGAAATGGTATATCAACGGTTTCCAGGTGGTCTCCAAGAGTTAATAGGATTAATAAAATCCTCATCCGTGCCAATAATTTGCATGTGTAATGACAGACAGAGTCAGAAGATGAGGTCTCTTGTCAATTACTGCTACGATCTAAGGTTCAATAGGCCAAGAGTCGATCAGATTAAGGTGCGTATATTCTTAACACAATCACATATAAAAACATATTTTCTGGAAATATGGTTTCATTTAATGGCAAACACCACGCTTGCTGCTTGCTTTTAAACTTAATTTTAGACACTACCAACTCCAGATCACCTCGCGGTGTTTTTCTTTACCTTTTGTCAACGGTGTCTAAATACTAAATATGTCTAAAAAAGTACATGTTACACTGAAATAGTCACATTGTTATAAACCAGGTCTCGAACCCGCCATCTATACTTGAAAATGGACGCCTTAGCATGCTCATATCCTATTTGCCCTTTCAATAAGCAGGCAGCACACCACTAAGCTGCAGTAAAAACTCATTGATTCATCAACATAATAATTTTCTTGACATTCACAGTCGGCGATGCTCTCAATATGCTTCAAAGAAGGTATAAAGATCCCCCCTGACGTGCTGAGCCAGCTGATCGTGTCCGCCAACCAAGATGTCCGACAGACCCTGAACTTGCTGTCCATGTGGGCCATAGACCCCACTCGCGCTGATCCAGACAGTCTAAGGAAGGACGCTCAGACCACCAAGAAGGATATTAAGCTGGTAAGTTATAATTTAATAATAAAAATATAATAAAATTAGCCTTTATTGCTGTTAACTTATAAAACATTATCTTACTAATATTATAAATGTGAAAGTTACGAAGTTTAGATGTTTGGTTGTTTGTTAGTCAATCACGCCAAAACGGCTGGAGGGATCGGAATGAAATTTGGCACAGGCATAGGATACACTCCGGATTAGGACATTGTCTATTTTCTATCAACATACCACGCGGGCGAACTTATTCTTATTAATTATTATTTTTATTCTTATTAATGGAGACCTAATTGAAACATACAAACTTTTGACTGGACATTACAATCTAAAGGTCATGTCAGTAATAGAGTAGTTGGAGCGTGGAACAAGCTCCCGGAAAATGTGGTTTCAGCCCTAAATTTGAACCAATTTAAAAATCGACTGGATAAATATTTACTCAACTGCAAGAAATGAACTAGTGGAAATTAACAGGACGCGGACATTATCAATTGTTTCACATTATTGCGCTTGTCCCGTGTCCTATTTGGTAAAAACAATCTACTCTCGATAGTGTCGAGAGAGTTCCCCACACGAAAAGAAAATTTATTATCACCTTGCATATTTCACTTTAAGATATATGTATATTCTAGGTTCAAACTAACCAATCAAGGCTATCCTTTCCCAGGGACCATTCGAGGCTATCCGCAAGGTATTCTCAGCGGAAGACCACAAGACGATGAGTATCAACGATAAGAGCGACCTGTTCTTCTACGACTACAGTCTCGCGCCACTTTTCGTGCAGGAGAACTATCTACAGGTCGCCCCACACTGTCCCAAGTAAGTTATTATTATTATTATTATTTAATACATTCCTAATCCTTAAATATCTGAAACCATTATCCCTAAAAGGCCGGCAACGCACTCGTTACTCCTTTGGTGTTGCGGGTGTCCATGGGTGGCACTGATTGCTTACCATCAGGTAATCCGTCAACTCGTTGGCCGAAATATACCATTAAACAAAAAATGACACGTACATATCAATACAATCAAATTCAATCAAATTTTTCAATCAATCAATCAAATTTTATTTATTTACGTTTGTACATAAATATCTTACATTTTAATTAATCTAGGTAAATAACATTACGGTGCCTGTATAGAATTGAATCTGTACCACAGGCGTTACGGTCACTTTCAGTTACTGTTATGCTATGATTCATCCTTAACAATATTTATTTATTTATTTATTTTTATTCAGATAAATACGGCTTCCTCTGGAACTCTAACCTTAGTACATGCATTTTCCGATGCTCCTTTTCCCGTAGGAGATTCGATAAATTCTCGTAGTTTCTAATAAGTAACATTCGAAGAAGCCATTCAACATTCTTATTTGGTCTTAGAGAAACTATGTACTTACAGTGAAGGAGAAAGGATTTTTAAAGTGTCGTAGTAAATTCAATTAATAACTTATTTTATTCGTTTCATTTGCACGTTCTAGACATAGTAATAGAAATTCATTTCTTTTTTTTTATCAAAAAAATTATGCCTTTCCAGAAATGAAGTATTACAAAGGATAAGCGAGGCAGCAGACAGCATCAGTTTGGGCGACCTGGTAGACGCGAGGATACGCCGCAATCAAGCGTGGAGTCTATTGCCAATGCAGGTAAACAAATATTTTCTGCTGAGTTGGTAATTAAGGGAGGGGGAGGGATGATTGGGCCACCGGAAACCTCACTCACTCAGCGAAACACAACGTAAGTGTTGTTTAACGCCGGTTTTCTGTGAGGCCGTGGTATTACTCCGGTCGAGCCGACCCAATTGTTCAGAAGCATGGCTCTCCCACGCTGAGTCGTTTGATTATTTCCATTAAACATAATTCCGATACTTAGATAATATACTGCTTCATTCCCAGGCCATGTACAGCTCGGTGATACCAGGCAACCGCATGTCTGGTCACATGACCGGCCAGATACAGTTCCCGGCCTGGCTCGGGAAGAACTCACGCGCTACTAAGATGAAACGTCTCTGTCAGGAGATACATGCACATACAAGACTCAGGTATAAGGAAATTTGATTGAAATATTAATAATTTAAATGGCAGGTATATTACTAATTATTTTAGTAACCCTATTATTTTTTGTTATAAATGCCCAAGACCTTTGTTTTTTTTCTTTGCAGTAAATAATCTCGGAACTAAATTCATCCGCGTTAATACCCGCGTAAATATATGTTAAATTCTAAATCTGATATATTTAGCCGATTGAGTTGAATTTTTTTTTACAAGATTAATTCATATGGCCACAAATCTCTACTCGAAATCCATAAAAACCTGAGAAGTACAAAATAAGTAACTTTTGTTGTGAGGGGAAAATCACCAAATGACTTCTCCCGCCCAGGGTAGGGCGGGAGGGAGTGTCAGACTCTTACTGACTAAAAACCCCCTGTTCCTTCTTCTGCTGTAGGCCGGGGTCGCGGTACCTCATTGCGCGTACCCCGCAACCCCGGCAAGACAAAATAACTGTCATTTTAATATATGTAAAGACATAAATGAGTACAAGTAGAAAATTCAAAGCAATCATTCATTTCTATAGTAATCAAAAGGGTATATATTAAAGCATTGTATGTAGTCTTTCTTGCTATTTTCTTGTATCAAGAAAATAGGATAGTCATTTCTTGCATCTTGCTTATGAATAACTTTGGCACAAGGTGGGTTGACTATTCGTTACCTACCCAATAAAAAGTTAGACAATAGCGCAGTTGATTGATCTATAAACGAGAGAATAGCTTGGCTCGTTTAGAGATCAAGAAGAAAACGCAAGACCCTCCACAATATCTTTAAAACAATCGTTGGTAAAGGCTATAAAGCCACAATCTAAAATCAACTCTATTCCACAGCACATCTGGTTCAAAATCCTCGGTCTATCTGGACTACAGTATGCATCTTCGTAATGCGATCCTCAATCCTTTAGTAAAGGACAAGTTGGATGGCGTGGACAAGTCTTTGGAAGTACTAGAGTCTTACCACCTGTTGAGGGAAGATTTGGACTCGTTAGTGGAACTGTCTATATGGCCAGGACAATTGAATCCTGCTGATTTGGTGGAGCCAAGGGTAAGAATATAATTAATTATATATTGTGATTGCAATTTCAAACATATAATTACAAACTACAAGCTTTTGCCCGCAACTCCGTTCGCGTGTAATAGTGACTTCCTAGATTTTTGGTTTAAAAAATAAAATAATCCTATGTCCTTTCTCGAGTTCCAAACTATGTCTGTACCAAATTTCACAGAAATGGGTTCAGTAGTTTAGGCGTGAAGAAAAGACAGACAGACAGAGTTATTTTCTCATTTATAATATCAGTTTGGATTTTTATGAAACCTAGCGGCCCGTCTCATTTTAATCCGGGTCCTATTTTTCTATCTTCCCGGCTATTGTATAAGATTTTTTTTTTCAATTCATTCACTTGTAATCCTAAAATAATCAAACTTTCTTCCATAGAGTTAACGGTTTGTATTTCTCTAGAACAATTTCTCTTATGTTCAAGAAATTTTACATTTAATGTCATGGAAACTACCTAAACCTAAACCAAAAAGGTTTTAATAAAACATGATGCTACATAGTTACATAATATATCATGGTTTAATAACATAATAACTTACATTTTGGTATGTTGCGAACTTGATATACATATATTGCTTATGAAGGCAAAGCTTACTAAAATCACTTCAGTAATTTTCAGATTTAAATCCTGATCTAAACTCGTTTACCATAAAAGCTCCTAGTACCTACCATTATCAGAACCGAAATACGAGTATAATCTTTGATCAAGACCTTCTTCTCAATAAATTATTGCATTGTCAGGTGAAAGCGGCAATGACTCGATCTTACAACAAGAAAGCAACTGCCCTGCCGTACGCGCCGGGCGCCGTCAAGAAAGGTAGAGCCAAAGCTGATGACGAATTCGGAGAAGATGACCAAGAGGATGAAGAGGAAACTAATGACAGTGACCCCGAGAATGATGCATTAATTAAGGTAATTTTATTAAACACTTTTTTTTGCTACTCCTGTGCCGTTTAACCCGCTGTTTGGCTTTGATATTAGTATTATTACCGAAATATGAATTTTACAACTAATTCCGGAGGTAAACTCTTACTTACTTTTTGTCGACATAATTCGACAGGTTTAAACTTCACCAAGGTTTCATTATATAGAAAAGCATTAATTTTTTTAGAGGGAAAGTTATTGAATGTTTTCCCCATTCCTTCTTCTGCTCTACTACTACTGGGCTACACTTAGATCGATCCTACTTTATTAGTTTAATTTATTTTATTAAACTTTCATTTTACACAGAAAAAGAAAAGCAAAGATGCAGAGAAACCAACGACAAGCAAAGGCAAGTCTACATCCAAAGCGTCGACGAGTAAAAAGAAAAAAGAGAAATAGCATCGGCGTTCTGTGATGGCCTTCTTGTTCAGATAATGTGACTTGATGGACCATCGGACCTCCTTGTACTGTAGACCAGTGATTTGTGATAACATTACTAAATACATACCGTGTCAATAATTTTAAGAGACTTTAGAATGGTGAAAATCGTGAGCAGTGTTACCATGTGAAATAAATTTTGTCAAATGAATCAGTAATTTTTGTTGATAGTGACAATATGGGAATCTGTGTATACTTATTCATATTTTACAATGAACTCTTTGAAACCAAAATATAATGATGACATTTTCTGGTCGGCTAAATATATGAAATAGCCTATTTTTCGTTAATCATTTATAGCACACTGTCAAAAGGTTACATCTGTGTAGATTGAATTCATCTGTGAGTTTATTTAATTAAATAAATACATTATTAATAATCGTTACAGATTTTGTAGGTTAATGGTAATAATATTTTATTCTTAAAAGGTAGACACAATATACAATTTTTAACATAAAGTTAGTAAAAAACTTCTCATATTGTCACTTATGTATGCATCTAAAATTGTAAGTGAAGTATAAAGTTACCTAGTTTTTTTAAGGCAAGATAAATGTTTAGCCATTCCTATCTAGTGAGACTGGATGCCAATTTGCGTGATACGAGTTAGAAGTGATAATAGTGGTAGTTATTGGCGAGCGAACAATGAGACAAATCGTGTCTAGTGTGTATTTTAATACATAGAATTGCAGTCAGCAGTATTTTTCATAAAAAAATGTACATCTTATCTGATCAACTATTTTCGATCAAGTATGTTTACATGAGATAATATTCACAAGAAACTGACGAATGTCTCACGAACAGTGCCTTGTACGAGTCTGTTTTACGTAAAGGCTTATTGACATGGTTTATTCTTGAATGGCGAAATTAATACCTTACGGCATTCTCTAAATTTTTTCTGTAATGTTTGTTTATGACGTTCATTGCTCTAATTAGTTATATTCTAAACCAACGAATCATAGGGCTAAACGCGGTAACATTTTGATAGCGTTAACGTTAAGCAAATTCGTACTTAGCACTCTGCCAGACGCGCAAGATACTTGTGAGCAGGAAATTCACCAGATGTGGACACACTATAACAACGGAAATGTTCAGTCCAAAAAGTTTTGTAAAACTCTGCTAACTTTGTAATCAGATTGTAAAGGAATGAAATATTCTTATTATATTTCTCTCTAATAGTCTTTAATTGTAAAATTGTTAAGTTAGATCTATCATGTTAAATATGTATGCCAAAAATTTGTAATCCTAGAGGGAACTTAGTATATTTTACTCTGCCATACTCCACCCATACTTATAAAGATACAAAGAGTCTAATTTTCTTCGACATTACAGTCTCAAACTAAATGAAACTGTACCATATGGATACTCTTTGATGTCTTCATCATAACCAATAAGGTAATATCAAAATTGTTGTTCAGATAAACTAAGTAATAAATCTCTTGTCCTGCCACATATGATACACAATAGAAAATACATTATGTCTCACTAAGATCTACTTTACACCAAATTAGAGAAAAAGATTCATCTACAGCAAAACCTCTGTGATATACTTTTACGAGCTACTCAACTTTTAAGAACATAAAACTTAATTGAAAAAGTGAGTTTCAGTGGCTGTATGTGAACCATTTCAAACTTTATTCATTTAAAATAAACTACATTTATATTTGAAATTGTTGATGGATGATAATTAATGTTTCTTATTTGTATTTAAAATTTGTTGATATTTCACCACTGTATTGGATAAGGATGTTTATAAATCTATCTATTCTAAATAGTGTACCTTTAGTAACCTCATTGAAAATAATCATTGAAAAAACTGTAATTTATAATATTCCCATTCTTGAAAATTTCTTATGTATCATTAAAACTGTACAGAAAACAAAATATGTACAAAAAATAATTATTGTCAAGTATGTATCACAAATAAAATTAAGTATTATTTAATCCCAGTGTAACGTCTACAAGTCTCATGTCTGAACAAATTTGTTAATTGGTTTTCATGTTGATTAAAGTTAACTATTGTTAATTTTCTTAATTTTTTTATTTACCTACTAATAATAGACACATGTAGCAGTGTTTTTAAATCATAACTGCTTCAATGAACATTAATTTGATTTAGAAAGTTGTATTTAATCAAGTTCCCATCTACATGATTTGCAAATCATAAACTTAATTTGGATATAACCAAAAAATACAATACTAATATCATTGGTTATTACAATAACACAATCTATTGAGATAGGAAAGTATGTCTTTAGGGGCATAGTATCTTAATTTTTTTCTCAACCATGTATCACTAAAAAAGAAAAAAATAATCAAACAACAACATAACAACACTGATCTTTATTACATAATAAATTGAAGCTAATATTTCACATTTACAGAATCTGACTTACACGAACTAGAGTTTATTCTTTGCGAATTAGTTTTGCTTTAGGGTCGTCAGGCCTCATTACAACGTAAGTGCTCTTGTATCTTCTGTTGTCTCCGTCCATTTTCACATAATTATAACATCCTACTGTGGCCATGCCAATGCCCAACACCGCCAAACCAGTCGAAGCCAAAACTTCAGGAATTTCGTGCCATCCTTGTTGAATTAGTTGACCAAGGCTACGTCTTGATGCGGAAGCCATTGTAATTTATCGTAAATTTATATAATTTACGAATAAAACTGTATCAACAGCTTTTCGTTCGATGGGGTTTTGACAGACTCACAAAGTCAAGAAATGACAGTGACAGAAACTATCAGTTACCAGCTTCAGATAATAGTTACCAGTAGTAAAAAAGTTGCATTCTGTATTACAAATATCGTCATAACTCTCCCGCCCTTCCCACTAGAATTTATCCGGCTACTTATTGCAGTAGTTGCTGTATAAGGTGATAAAGTTCGATTCCTGCGTTTGTGTTTTTTTGGCGTAGATCGCACAGAAGGACGGCTGATGAAACGCAATCAGCGCAGCAACACAAATGAATTGACAAGCCCGTTGACAGCCTTAGGTTAGAGATTTGAGGATTGTAGTTCTCTGGATTGCTGATTTGGAATTTGGGAGTTGGTAATGGAGGGGAAGGCGCAATCGTGTAACACAGCTGCAGCGAGAATGGGGTGAGTCTGACCCTTCTCCTCTTTCCCACACAAGGCGGAAGAAGAGGTTTGATGATTTCCATTTAATTTAATCGGAAATCGGTATCAAAATAAAAATAACGTATTTCCTTTTCTCTCTATACTGGCACTAACTATCTTTTTTTATTATTACCTTTGTTTCATGTACCTGTCTGTCACTTTTGGCTTGACAAATCTATGATTAATTTTGTCATAGCTGTTGTTTGTGCGAATTTAAATATAACAAAAGTATTTGCTAATTTAATTGCTACATTTTCGAAGGTTAAAATACGGTTGACTTTGTATTGCAAAGAAAATGAATCAATCAGTTAAACCATTTGGTCACGTAGTGAAATTTAAAAAGGGATTGTTTGGATTGTTCAAACGAGGATGGTGGGAGATACCAGACGTTATGGCTGCATCGTTCATGGCAATAGTGGGAGCGGGAATGGCTACATATGGTGTCATGAGATATATAGAAACGGGAGGTGAAAATAGTGAATATAAAAGTGTATATTACGTGGTAAGATCGGGTGATCCACGTGCTTGTAAATTGAAAAATCCAACCTACAGCGAATATAATTGTTAATGTCTTCAATTATTAAATTCCTAATTATACCTAACATGAATAATATTAAATATTTGTTTTATTTTATTAATTTTCACTAATGCAAGAAAACTCAACTTCAATACAACCGTAAAGGTATTTTCGTTTTCTAATAGGTACAAACTGATCATCGTCAACATCATCAGCCTGATTCCGTCGTTCTCATGGAATTACTGCCGACCCTGCGTATATCGTCAGTTCAATTATCTAGAGGGCAGTGGGCACCCTACACTACAAATTTTAATACTAGATGTCGTCTAAACCAGGCTAGCCTGATAAAAGTGAGCATAAAGCAAGAAAACAAGTTAGTCACCAGACACCGCAATAGGCGACCGAAAGTGCGGATCTGCGATCAACCCCAGACCCGAGCGCTGGCACGAGTCCCATCAGGGCTAATGTTCAGCCGAAGTCGCGCGTACTGTGGCCCGATCCTAGAAGAGGAAAATGAACGGGGTTGATTTTTAGTGAGAGTCTGCGACTCCCTCTTGCCTCACCCTGGTTAAGTGGACATTTGATCATTTTCCCGCCTCAAAAAAAGAAAAGTCACTATGACACATACTAAATAAATTGAAAATACCTGCTTAACAAATCACGTGAATTTTCTTACAAAAATTCAACTATTTTCAAGTCAAAACGGGACTCTTATTCATGACACAGAAAATAAATAGAAATATTATTTACTTGTGCAATAACAAAACGCAAAAAATGTCAACGTCACTAATAAAAAGTGACATTGACTTTACTGTCATTGATAAAGGTCAACACTATTATACCGGCCCCTTGCTGTTCGTATTCATAGCGAATTGTTAAACCGATAACTGTAACAAATTCATTGTATTGCACAACACAAACGACGCATTTCGTGCGTGAGTTTCAGTCTGATAGGTTGTGAATTATCTTAAAAAAATGGGTTCCCGCTTCCAAGTTGTTCAACAAGGTCCTCCCATCGAAGTTTTCCAATTAAACCGTATGTTTATGGAAGACCCGCACCCGTCTAAAATCAATTTGAGCATTGGCGGTGAGTTTTTTATAATTTCAATAAGTTTCGCTCACGAAACTGACGATTTTGGTCTTCCAGCAGCTCCAGCAACATGTCTCCTTTTAACCTTAATTATATAATTTTTAATGCATAGTTTTCATTTTGAAAACATCTCTTTATTTATTTATATTTACGTAAAAGTAAACAGAATTTTATTTTAAGCTATTTAATTTTTGTATCATTCCTAATTTAAGTATTTTGTAATATCAATATAGTGGACAGATAAAAGAACTAGTTTTGTTTTACTTACTCCAGGAAAAAAGATTTAAAAATTACATCACTTTTATAATGTTTTTTTTCTTGCAACTCTTACAAAAAGTTTTTATAACAATTGTACTTATTGCAGCCTACCGAGATGAAAAAGGTCAACCATGGGTACTACCAGTGGTGAGGAAGATGGAGAAACAGATGGCTAATGATGAGACACTCCTGCATGAATACCTCCCTGTTCTTGGTAAGCTTGAAGTCTTTCCCCTTCATTGTTATATTTAAGATTCAGATGCATGACTGTGATAGGTTGAGAAATTTGGTAAGGATCATATTAAAATTAATTGTGCAGGGCCGGGGTTTTTAGTAGAAGTTTGTTAGTGTCTGATACTCTCAATCGCCTTGTCCTAGATGGGAGAATGATTTGATAATTTTTCCCTGACAAAAAAAGCATGAACTTTTTTTTATATTATAATGTTTCATTCCTTTATGGATACTAATTAAACCTATGGTTGCTGAATTAGATTTATCCTCTACATAATCATATTAATATTAGAAATGTGAATGTTTGTGGGTGTAGGTGGATGAATGTTTATTACTCTTTCACTCAAAAAAAAATTAATAGTTTTTCACAAAATTTGGCACAGAGATAGATTATAGTGTTGAACAACATTTAGTTGACTCTTATCTAGGTATAATGTAAGTAAAGTTACTGGCTGAAGCAAGCATTGTGTAAAACCTTTTTTATATTTTATTTCCAAAATGAATATTTTCTTTCTTTCTATTTTTTTTACTAGCTCCATAACCCATAAATATTAATATTTTATTTTTAACATACATATTGGATGTATGAATGTAGTTTTACAAAAAATATTTACAATATCTACAGAAAAAATATCATTAGATATAGTGGTAATGGCATCTTGAAAAACACATTTATAAGCAAATTGTAAAGCATGTACATATATTACTTGTTATCAATCTGATGTTTATGCCTTAAAATGAGTCAATAATTTATTTGTTATCAGTACTGTTGCTATGATAACATAGGAACTGTAACATTTAATACTTCCAGAAGTTATAATGACTTATTTTATGCTATTTGTTAAGAAGAACAAATGTAATATAGGTTTCTAATTAAATATGAGCATAAAAATTCCTTTTGTTAAAAAAGGTTTGATTAAAAAAGTTAAACAGGAGATGTAATGCAGTGGTTTTCAGTCAGTAAAAGTCACCTTAAAAAAAGACTGATGAATAAATAGTATATTAAAATCGAGAAGTAGGTAATGAAACCTTAATCAATTTATCAATTAGCAAAGTTATGTGATCTATTATGATTATGAAGCTGATTATTACAGGATAATCAAGTACCTATGAAATGTTTCATTGCTTCTCCATAATTCTACTTCAACACTTACTATTTCCAATCGATATAAATATCGAAAAGTGCTGTTACAACCCAATTTATTTTTATACATCTTTCAAGAGCTGGAAAGCATCCAATAAAATTTTGTAGAATAATTGTTATGAGTACAATTTATCAAAACATTGATGAGATTATACTACTTAGTTTTGCAAATGAAAAGTGCTGTTCTAAGCTATAATTTGCCGACTGACACAACTTTGCCGTTCACTGTTCACGCTGACTTAACTCACTTAACTGACTGCACTTCACTATTTCACTGTACTTCACTATTTCACTCACTTTTCTTCTTTTCACTTCTTCCTTTTCTTCCGAATCGCTTTGGACTTAGAACTCAACTTTAAATTTGCTCCACGCAGCTTATCGAGTACCTTTTCCAATTTCCTTAGATGATCGTCAAAATCCCGTCCAACAATGATGATGTCATCGAGGTAAACTAGGCAGGTTTCGCCCAGCAGTCCCGCCAGCACCTGTTCCATCAAACGCTCAAAGGTTGCCGGTGCATTGCATAATCCAAATGGCATCACCTTAAATTGCCAGAGTCCCTTCCCAGTTGAGAATGCGGTCTTTTCCTTGTCCTTGGGATCCAAATCCACCTGCCAATAGCCGCTTTTCAGATCGAGCGTTGAAAACCATTTCATGCCACTCAGTGTGTCAAGTGTGTCATCGATTCTTGGTAACGGGTAGCTATCCTTCTTGGTTACATCATTCAATCGTCGATAGTCTACGCAAAACCTCGTTGAACCATCTTTCTTCTTGACAAGCACGACAGGTGAACACCAAGGGCTAGAAGAGGGCTCTATCACGTCATTTTTCCTCATATCGTCAATCATTTCTTCAACCTCTTTCTCACGAGCGAATGGTATGCGTCTGGGCCTTTGACGAATTGGCATTGTATCACCTGTGTTTATTTTATGTTTCACCAAACCAGTTCGGCCAATATCACCATCGCTTCTTGAAAACACATCAGAGAATCGAAGAAGTAAATTTCTAGCTTTCATAGTCTCCACTTTTGTCAGACTTTTGTTTTCGTCTAAGATTTTCGTTACAAAGTCCATTCCCGTACTGTCCTTCTTCACAAGATTCTCCGAGCATTTTCTTATCCAGGCCACTTCTTCCAATACGCCCACAGGCTCTCCTTCTTCAATCGTATAAAAACTTCATGTTTACGGCGGGTCTCGAACTCGGGGTCTCTGTGGTGTAATCCACACGCTTTACCGATTACACCAACTCGTGTTGACAATTCACGACGAAATTTACAATCTCTAGGCAACGTTTGACAACCATCCATTGACGTCATGATGTCAAAGAGTTTTCTGTCACACTAGGCACGTTTCTCCTCTGTCAATCGATGCAATGGCTTGGCAATGTCCGAGAATCCTTTCACAAACCGCCGATAATACGAGCACAATCCAAGAAATGCCCGAACTTGCGTTTTGTCTTTAGGTGTTGGCCATTCCTTAACAGCGGCAGTCTTGGCTGGATCAGTCTCAATTCCTCTCTCAGAAATAACATGTCCTAGATAATTCACTTCGCGCTTGAAGAAAGAGCATTTCTTTGGACTCAACTTTAAATTTGCTCCACGCAGCTTGTCGAGTACCTTTTCCAATTTCCTTAGATGATCGTCAAAATCCCGTCCAACAATGATGATGTCATCGAGGTAAACTAGGCAGGTTTCGCCCAGCAGTCCCGCCAGCACCTGTTCCATCAAACGCTCAAAGGTTGCCGGTGCATTGCATAATCCAAATGGCATCACCTTAAATTGCCAGAGTCCCTTCCCAGTTGAGAATGCGGTCTTTTCCTTGTCCTTGGGAGAGAATAGCCTTAGACATCGCTGGACCATTTCCAATCACTGATTCGGGCAATCGCTACGTTTTAGTGGTTATGGATTATTTTACAAAATGGCCGGAGGTCTTTGCCATACCGAATCAAGAGGCAGTAACGGTAGCCACGAAGTTGGTAAACGAGGTATTCACCCGATTCGGAGTGCCCTTGGAGATGCACAGTGATCAAGGACGGAACTTTGAATCCCAAGTTTTTCAGGAAACTTGTAAACTTTTGGGAATCCATAAGACTCGAACGACCCCTTATCATCCACAGTCAGATGGCATGGTCGAACGCTTCAACCAAACATTGGAGCGACACTTAGCAAAGGTGGTTGACAGCCATCAGAGAGATTGGGACACTTACATACCTCTCTTCTTGCTTGCCTATCGGACTGCTGTACATGAAAGTACCGCAAAGACGCCTGCATTTGCAAATTTTGGAAGGGAATTGAGATTACCGGCAGATCTTGTATCGGGCTGTCCACCTGGTGACTCTCGCACCGAGTTTAGCGATTACATAAGCGAGTTAAGGACAAAATTGTTGGACATTTATGAGCAGATCAGGGAGGCCGGTCTTCAAGCTAGTGATCGCGCAAAGACGCGCTATGATCGACGAGCCAATTCTGTTGGGTTTGAAGAGGGGTCATTGGTCTGGCTTCATAATCCAGTCAGAAGGAAGGGAAAATCTCCGAAGCTGCAACCGAGTTGGGAAGGTCCTTATGAGATAGTCACGAAGATCAATGACATTACTTACAGAATTCGGAAGACTTCAAGGAGCCCTTTGAAAGTTGTCCATATAGACAGGTTGGCGAAGTACTACGGCAGCAACGATGCTCGGGACGAGCGAATCTAAGAGGGGGGCAGTGTGACGGAAAAGTGGTTCAAACTCTTTGACATCATGACGTCAATGGATGGTTGTCAAACGTTGCCTAGAGATTGTAAATTTCGTCGTGAATTGTCAACACGAGTTGGTGTAATCGGCAAGGCGTGTGGATTACACCACAGAGACCCCGAGTTCGAGTCCCGCCGTAAACATGAAGTTTTTTAGTTGATGGAAGTTTTGTCGAACTTTCTGGAATTATTTGTGTAAAAGAAATGAAAAATTAAAGAGCGAGAAGGAGAATAAATAAAAATGAATAACGAAATTATTGGAAGGTTCTGGAGGCATGACGATCAAAAAGAATAACGAAATTGAATGTTCCAGAACCTGACCGGGGGTATATAAGCGGAACTGCGGCTCACCGCTGGCAGTTGAGTTCTAAGTCTAAAGCGATTCGGAAGAAAAGGAAGAAGTGAAAAAGAAGAAAAGTGAGTGAAATAGTGAAGTGCAGTGAAATAGTGAAGTGCAGTCAGTTAAGTGAGTTAAGTCAGCGTGAACGGCAAAGTTGTGTCAGTCGGCCGGACTCTGCTGTTAAGTGCAATAGAAAGTCTGAAAACCGGTATTAGTGTTTCATTTCACCCAATCCCGTAACCCAAGCCCGCATAGTCAGGAACGTGACGTCAGGCACGTAACAGTATATATCGGCAAACGAGCTTACGGATTACCTGATGGTAAGCAATCAGCGCCGCCCATGGACACTCGCAACACCAAAGGAGTTACGAGTGCGTTGCCGGCCTTTTGGGGATAAGGTTTGCGGATGTAAGGATCGGGAAGGGATAGGGGAAGGGACGGGATTGGGCCTCCGGTAACCTCACTCACACGGCGAAACACAACACTTTGGGTTGTTTCACGCCGGTATTCTGTGAGGCCGTGGTATCACTCCGGTCGAGCCGACCCATTCGTAGCATCCGAAGCTTGGCTCTCCCACACTTAAATATTATCTAAACATACAGTAAAGGAAACCATTGTTAAGAAACTTGGACAACCTAATGATTTTTAATTATAAGTTTCAAATAGACTATCGATCTTGAGAAGCGGTGTTTGTTAATGCGAATTCTTTCTCCTTGTAAGATGCTTTTGCTCAGCATTATGCAGGGAACAACCCTTGATGTGATCCACAGATTGTTGTTCCGGGTTGTGATTTGTATCTATGTGGATTTGTTAAAAGGCACCATTTACACACAGAAATATCCTACTATGGTGGGCATCGTTTTCTTTAATCCAGACGCTAAAATCCAATAATTTATTGATCAATGTCCGAAAAAAAAACAGATGTTAAACCATAATCTTTCGGTATACCAAACTTATTAAAATTATAATATTATTATGATACTGTTAACTGCATTGACGTCACTGATAAATAACAAACCATGAAAAACACAATGATGATATTGACCGTCGATCTTATAAATGATAATTACAAAGTATCCGAACTCAACCAGTCCAAATTACTTTAAAACCAGCAAAAACTGGAGTTTACACACTCATGTTATTTATCAAGCTTCCGACCGCTTCTTCGCCTGCTTTGTATGTTGATAAATAGTTACCTATCGTATGCTTAATAGAAAATAGGCCTAACTCAAAAAATAAGGTATCTGAATCTTGAAAAATATGTTTTTTATCATAAGGTTCAATTTTGAAATACCCTGTTTCATGTGTTAGTTCTGTTTTCTTTTAAACATGCGCAGAATGTGTTAATTCAGGGTATCATCTATCTACATACCAACCAAAACGGTCAGACATTTTTTCGTAAAAGAATAACAAACATACATCTATGCAAACTTTCACATTTATATAGTATTAGTAGGAAATTAAAAAAAACGAAGAGTTCGTCTGTTTGAACGCCTCCGCTAATCCCAAAACGTCTGGTTCGAATTGAAACAATATTTTTGTGTTAGACAGCCCCTTTACAGAGAAAAGCTATAGTTTATAAAACATCTCGCTACGATTAAAACTTGTGTCAATTCTTTCAATTATCATAGGCCTTTCAAACTTTTAACAACTATTTTGTATAACTAAACAAGATGATGAAACGAACCTTTAAAATACCAATCGATATTATTTGTTGTTTGTTTTTCTGGATTTCCTCTCAGAGCAGATGAATTACAAGTATTATTATGACAGTTTCATCATATTACTTAACTATGTTTGTTTACATAAAGCCCGTCATGTGATGTAAATACATAATATGTATTATTGGCATGATAATTGGCCTTTGTATAAGCAATGATAACTGTCGCAATAGCAAACTGAAGTAACGAGGCTTCAGGTGGCAAATTATCTAGTGTGGGAGAGCCATGCTTCGGCACGAATGGGTCGGCTCGACCGGAGTGATACCACGGCCTCACAGAAAACCGGCGTGAAACAACCACAGCGTTGTGTTTCGCCGTGTCAGTGAGGTTACCGGAGGCCCAATCCTTCCACTCCCCCAATCCCTCCTCAATCTCTGAGTCTCCAAATCCCTTATCCCTAAAAGATCGGCAACGCACTCGTAACTCCTCCGTAGCGGGTGTCCATGGGCGGCGCTGATTGCTTACCATCAGGTAATCCGTCTGCTCGTTGGCCGAAGTATTACATAAAAAAGTGGTAGTGGGCAGTCGCATTTATCAAAGAACTGATGACCGTTGGGGTAGACGTGTTCTGGAGTGAAGACCATGTCTAGGCAAACTTATAGAGCGCCCTCTAGCTTGTTAAACTGACGATATCCGTAGAGTAACTGTTGACAGCACGTTTGGCGTAGTGACTGCAACCGACTGGCGCGCAAAAAGTCGCGGCTTCGGTTCCCGCACGGAACAACTCTTTGTGTGATCCACAAATTGTTGATCCCTGGTGTGGGTTAAAGTTTAAAACAAAAAAAAAAAATAATGGCTTGCAGGGTTGGATGTGAAAAAAGCTGAACATCGAATACAGTGGCGTGCAATTAGTAGAGGCCTATGACCAGCAGTGGACGGAAACAGGCTGCTGATGATGAATGGGCTCGCGTCTTTAACGTGAGACTCGGATCTTGTAGCGTGCATTGTATGTATTTGCAGTGTCTTCGGCCTTGCCCTCGTTTTCTATAATGATGGTATTTATAAGGTGTTAATTAAACATTGATAGTCGTAACTACTTAAAGTAGATTACACGAAGTGAATGAAACATGATCTTAGGTTTTTTAAGTTTCCGTAGTCATGTGGTAAACAAAATATTATTCGTATGTGTTTAAAGTCATGCCTGTGTTAGTATCTGTCTGTCCGTCCGTATCTCACAACCACTTTTTTCTGAAACTATAAGAACTAAGTATTACCGTACATAACATATAATAACGCGGGTATTAACACGAAAAAGTATTTATTTAAATACCTTGCTAGGGTTGTCGTTTCGACCTGGTTGCAAATGTCGTAACAGTATTACAGTAAAAGTTAGTACTACCGTAGTAATAAAAATAAACATATCAATCAACAGTACGCCGCTTATCTAAGTATGTATTGTATTCACATAGACACAAACTAGCTGCTAATTTTTAAAGGAATTAGTTAAACAGTAAATACATTGTTACAGGTATGGAACAGTTCTCCGCAGCGTCTACCGCCATGCTGCTGGGAGAAGACAGCCCCGCGATCGCTTCAGGACGTGTAAGTACCTTGCGACTATATTGCATTCATACCATCTGCTATTATAGGCACATATCTGTTGTAAAGTGATCACTATATTTTTTAATGTCTATTTAATACTTTGGTATGTCTAGCTTCCTGACTGTTTTTAATGAAGATTTAGTAGCATTAGGAATCCCTATCAGCCATATAACAGCATATTAGTTTCTATACTAATATTATAAAGAGGTTAAATTTGTAAGTTTCTATGTAGGGGGTCTTTGGAACCGCTGGTCGGATTGCCAAAATTCTTTCACTGATAGATAGCTACAATGTTCCTGAGTGCTATAGGCTATAAAATATCACGCTACGATTAAATGGGGCCGAGCAGCGGGTGTCATCGCGCGAGAGTAGCTAGTTTGCTTAGATAGTAAGAGCGAATCCGCAAATAATATCTTCTGATTTATTTCGTTGCGGGATCTAAGACTGCCTGCTGCTTATTCATGTCCCTGGGACGCGCCGGACTCCAGTGTTTCGGTGTTTTCATGGTTGTATCTACTGTAGATCCTGGATTAGTTGCAGCGGTTTTTCGAGGTTGCGGCTAGCCCGTCCCAGTTTAAAAAAAAAAGATAGTAAGAACGATTCTGCTCTGCGTCCGATATGAAACCATTAAAATACAGGTCTAGGAAATTCATACAGAAACTGGATGAAAATGTAGTGCGTAAATTAGTTGACGGAAATTGTTTAATGACAATGTGGGGCAGAATTTATACGTGTTCAGATTGTATCCAAAGTCAAAGTCAAATCATTTATTTCAATAAGACCATTAAAGGTCTGTCGGTCAGACCTCTAGTAAAGCTATGCACTCGTTCCAACGTGTAGATTACGATAAAAACGAACGAGCAATAGACTAGTAGATTAGTCTTTTTCAATCAGCTTCGCAATCAGATTCTTTGTTACGCATGATTAAGTTGATTCTATTATGCGAAAGCAATGTGTTTAACATTCAGTCAAAGAAATGGAAAATGAGAATAACCTCAAGGACAGATGGGGCGCACAGCCGGAGTTGCGGATCAAAAGCTATAATGTATGATGAACTGTAGAGAAGACGGAGTGGTTTTTAGTCTGAAATGTGGGGGGGCCAAGCTTCGACACAAATGCGTCGGCTGGACCGGAGTGATACCACAGCCTCACAGTAAACCCGCGTGAAAAAACCATATCGTTATGTTTCGCCGTGTGAGTGAGGTTACTGGTGGCCCAATACCTACCGCTCACCCCATCCCTTCCCAATCCTTAAATCTCCGAAACTCTTATGCCTAAAATTCCGGCAACGCACTCGTAACTCGCCCTCGCTGATTGTTTACCATCAGGTAATCCTTCTGCATGTTCCCCGACCTTTACCATAAAATAAGTCAGTAAGAGTCTGACACACCCTCTGGAGCATGGTGCAGGAGAAGACCTTGGATGATTTCCCCCCCTCAAAAATGGATAACATATTTAGAAGGTTTAAAGATGTCCAGATATACAGATGCATTGGATCGGAAATAATATGAAAGTGCTATAAAATAGAAAAGTCTAATAATAAAATCTATTTTGTCTCATTCAACACACACGTGTTGTTATTTTTATACAAATTTAGTTGACTGTCGACAAATTACAACATCCTGGTACATTAAGTTCAATTAATTCTAGTTCATTATTCTATTCTGGAATTTTTCTATCTATTGCACAATTATATGACAGTTTTGTGTAACATGTGTACTTAAAAAGAGTAATATCAATTGTATTATGGAACCATGGGTCACATATGTATCGTCCAACATGTGTTTTCGACATGTCATTGGACTAGTTTCAAAGTTGAATAGTCAGATGAAAATAGTTCATATACAGGGTGTAAGGGACAGCCCTCCGCAAACTGATAGGGTGGATTCAGTATATCGTTTTAAGTTGACCGGTACATGAAATTATTTCAGGAACGTTATGGGAATCCAATTAAACCGATTTGTTTCATTACCTTACACGCAATGTATCGCTACCACCGCAAACGCACGCAGCGAACGGCAGCGCCACAGTATAAATATCATACAGTATTGTAACTCGGCCGCTTGAAAGAAATAAATACCTACAGCCGCGCGGTACGTAAACATGCGTTAGGGCTGCTCGTCTCCAGTATTTTAATTACCTTTGCCTACTTTCTGTTTCCATTTAGTTTTGTGATTGTAAATATCCTTTTTTTATATAAACAAATAAAGTGCTTTAAAAATAAACAAACAAAATTTCTTTGGCCACTAATGCCGAACTGAACAGCTGACTACGAATGTTCTAAAATCACAACCCTCAAACATCAAAATATTACATGAGTCTAGCTGTTTTATTGTTGTTATTAAATATTTTCTAGTATTATTCATAAACGCAGATAATAAACAAATATTATTAATAATAAAATACCACACTCTCTACTTTGAATTATAGGTACAAACTAACAAAACATACTTAAACCGTTTTAACACAAGCGTATGTAGGTAGGTACCTAACGTATCATGATTCATTCAGAACCAGAACCGCCTATAACTACCTATTTCACTCGTCTCAATAACTTTATTCATATTATTTATAAATTCAAACATCTGTTTTCGTGAGATAATTGGAAACCTAGGCTACTAGTAAGTAAAATTATTTTATAGTCTTACCTTTCAGAGTTTCCAGGTAATTTAAAAAAAACTTATGTCTGGATGCGTTATTGACGAATTCATGCAACCAAACATAATAACAGCACAATATTTCCTATTCGTCATATTAAATAATGTACTCGAGCTGATTTCTAAATAAAAGACAACACACCGTCCGTTCGTCACTGCGGTACAGCCGCGTCTGTCTGCGTCCCGAGCGCGTCCCGACATCGGGCGCGTAGGTATAGTTCGCGTTTCGGCCGTTTCTATGAAGTTGAAATACTTGTAGATATTATTACCTTGGCAGCGCTTTTAGTATTATTACTTTACACTATGGGCAGCGCCGCGACCTTACGTTCAGACAAACGGTCGCGCTCGCGCCACGTTTTAATAACAATAAATTATTATTTAAAAGATAGCCGCATTACTTACAAAAGACAATGTAATAATCGCGCTCGCGAACAATAAATTATTATTTAAAAGATAGCTGCATTACTTACAAAAAAAAATCTAACAATCATAACATGGTAACTGATAAATGATAAAAAAAGAAAAATGCGTAGGTACCTTAGAATCGCTCCGGTTTCCGGCTCTGGAAAGCATTTGTGATGCGGTCTCGCATTTCGTACTCACTTGCACACGCACTCACAAACACTTTTTCTTTTACGTAACCCCACAAAAAGGGGTCCAAATGGGTTAGGTCTGGGGATCGTGCTGGCCACGGTTGCGGTCCAAACCTACCTAAACTACGTTTAAATAGGAAAGCACTGGTAAGTGGTAGCGTCTCCTTACGTTAGCGAACCAATTCCAAAATCCACGTAGGTATTGGTCTTCCGGCGCCTTTTTGTCTGGGAACAATGGGCTGGTTTTCTAGCAAGCGTTGATAGTCACCAGTAATTATCCTGGAGTCTGATGGATGGCGACGGTCAGGATACCTACACTACTACAACACATTATCATCTCCCCATAATCACGCGCGCTAAACGTACCTAGGTAGTAATTTCGCACAATTTCTACAACAAAACTTCACTACACTTCACACACTAAGTAAGTAATAAAACTTAACAACACTACTTATAATAAAACTTTTAAGCCGAATACGCGAGCGATCCGTACCAACACACGCTCGCGGAACATAAACAGTAACATCGCAGCAAGGCACAATGGCGACTGCATGTGATGAGACACACACAAACATAAATCTGTTGTTGCCAATTACACGAAAATTACAAAATTTCGGGGTAAAAAATAAAAAATTATGCATGGTCGTAATTTATCATTCTGTTATTTTTTGTAGAGAAATGAATTGATTAAATCAATTTAATTCTAATTTCATTGTTTAGTTAATTTAGAATAATAAAAGTGCAGTGTGATAGAAAGCTGTGCTTCCATTCCAGGGAGATTGTGTTTAATTTCTGGCTCGACTATCAATTCATGGCTATTGTGAAGCCATGTAAAAATCTGTAAGTAGTTTAAAAACTAGCCAGTAATCGCTTATAAAGAACAATCAATTAATAAATTAGGTAGTATTTGTAAATGCTTTAAAATTAAAACTAGACTAATCTTTATTTATTTCTTATTCAATTTATGTGCGCGACAAGATTTTCATTAATTGATTAATGAAAATCTCATCAACGTAATTATGAATGCAAAGGAGTTCTCAAGTTTTAGATAAATTTCGCTAGTTCTAACATTTTCGTTTACTACCTGAGGTAACAAAAGTTAAAAATTGGCAACACTGGTTCAATCGGGCAAACGTGCAAAGAATCGGGGAGACGGGGAGACGCGGAGGCGGGGCGATAGAAAGGGACGCAGCTATTCTGTACGTTGGACGGGAGCGTAGGTATTATACCTACGGCGCGCGGCGCGGCGTTCGGCGCGGTGGGGCGCCGAGCCGCTGCGCCGTGACCGCGGTGCGGTGAGTTCAAACGACTCGCGCTAGGTAGAAATTGAACAGCTGATTTCATGCGTAGTTCTTTAGAGAATTCACACAACCATTGCGTATTTTTTTGTTTTAGCTGTGTTATTTACATTAATGTTATTCTTCATACATAAAATGTAATTATACATTGAAATAGAGGTTTAGGAACTGAAAAAACGAAAAAAAAATTGAAAATTTTCCTGAAAGAATTTTCACTGGAATATGATTCAGAATAAGGAGCTGAATGCACCCTGTTAATTTGTGGAGGGCTGTCCCTTACACCCTGTATGTATTAAAATAAAACCGAAATTGAATTCCCTGAAAAAGAAGAAAGTATTCTGTTTTCTTCACCTCTATAAATAATACATTTAATGCGCATGTCCATTGGATATGCAGGCTTCTTTAACTAGTAGTCGTAGTTGTCAGTAAATCCTGGATTACGTAAGTTTTTGAAGTTTCGGTTTTGAAAGGTTGGTGTGGTCTTGCCCACATGTCACGAAAGTGGTAGTTTTTGGTCCCTGTGGCTTCTCCCGAAAGGCAGAAGACGGTAAGAAAGCTGAGTTTTTTAGTGGGTGCAAGCCCCACGTAGCCTCACCGTCTCGTGTGTACGCGTAAGGCATTCATCTCAACTGAAAAAAAAGAACGTCTTGCCCATATAACAGTAAGCAATAAGGAAGGAGGAAGAAACTAAATGTATTAAATTCACAACACCAAATGTTAAACAGATAAAAACCAGTGTGCTTGTCAAGGGCGAGGAGTTGAGTCCTGTAGATACAACTGTCTTTTTAGGTATAACCCTGGACGCTAAGCTCCAGTGGGGCCCACATATAGATGGCTTGTCGAAGAAGCTCAGTTCTGCAGCATATGCCGTTAAAAAAATTAGAAATTTAACAGATGTAGATACAGCGCGGTTAGTTTATTTTGGTTATTTTCACAGCATCATGTCATACGGTATTTTGTTGCCCCACAACAATAATGCTGCTGACATCCAGTCTATTTTTGTTCTGCAGAAAAGGGCTATTCGATCAATCTATAATCTTAGTCCGAGGCATTCGCTCAGAGAATTATTTAAGGAATCTAAAATAATGACAGTTGCCTCTCAATATATTTATGAAAATGTAATTCACGCTCATAAAAACAAAAGCTTATTTAAGAAATATAGTGTTAAACATAATATCAACACGAGGGGGAAAAACAAATATGTTGTGCCTGCCTCCAGGCTTCAGAAAATAAGTAGTTCGTTTAGGTGTCAATGTATACGCTTTTACAATAAAATTCCTAGCGATATTCAAAATTTGAGCCTCAATAAATTTAAAAGTGTAATAAAGGCTAAACTTTGCTGTAAAGCATTTTATAAAATAAAAGACTACTTAGAGGATAGTCAGGCTTGGGAATGAGCCGCTGTAATGTCTGCACAGGTCATGTTGACATGTTTGTAACATAAGTTACACTTTTATATACAATTTGACATTACGTTTATTTTTTTATACAATGACATGATCACCTATTGTGACATTTTTATTTTTTATTTGACATTTTTTTTTTATTTATTTGTTGACATTTTTATTATTTTATAATATTGTTAGTGTAAGGACCGTGTGAGACTTGTCGTGCTTTTTGATCACCAGTCATCTGCGTTCTGACAGTTTGAGTACTTGCGCGACCCACCCAAATGTTCTTTTGATCGGTATTGTTCGTCGGACAACTCAACAGCACTAGCTATACTGGTTCCAAACTGACACTTGCGTGCCTGTCTTCAGAACGGGTCCACTTAAACTGGTGTGGTTCTTTCCTCAAAAGACCACTACAGAATGAACTTGCACGGTTCTCTCACATTATGTTATTTTATATTGTCTGGACTTGAAAAGAGACTGACCTCTGAGTTTGTTTCGGCATTTCTTCTCAGAGTAGTCAGATAGGAAATGCCGGCTTCATCTAGTTTTTCACATATAATTTGACGTGTAAAAGTGCCGTTTTATGGCCTATTTGCAAAAATAAATTCATTGTTTCATTGGATTATTAATTCATTCCAAATTAAGAACAAATTACAGATTATGTAAAAAATATATTAGATCTTATATCCAAAATACAATAAGTTCCTTTTTTGATTGAATTAAAAGTAGTGGCACTTTATTTCATGTGATTTATTTCCATTGGTTCCAGGCGTTCGGAGTTCAGACGCTGTCTGGAACAGGCAGTCTGCGCGTCGGCGCTGAGCTGCTGAACAAACACCTTAACTACACCAACTTCTATTACTCCGTGCCTACCTGGGGTATGTATTGATTTATAAGACCTTATATCCACAGATAATCCGATCCGAGTTTGCGGGGTAAGCGAAATGAGGCACCACGGCCTCGGCCCAAAGCAGGAGAAGGAACGGGGGGTTTTTAGTCAGTAAGAGTCTGACACTCCCTCGCCTTACCCTAGGCGGGAGAAGCCATTTGATGATTTATCCCTGACAAAAAAATATCCACAGATAATGACTACATCGTATAAAATAAAACAACGTCGCTTCCTCCGTACATTCCTATGTATCTTTAAAACTGCGCTACTGATTTTGAACAAGACAGGTGACTCCGACAAAAATAAAAAGGGAGAGATTTTTCCATGATTCGTAGAGAACTATCACCCAAGAGTTGTACGTTGGGATTTCCATCAAAGTTTAATAGTACTCAAACGAACTTGCATTATTATTATCTTCAAATCTTCCATGTGCGTCACCTCTGTGTATCAGAGTGACCTATATATTAACACCGGTTGAAACACCGCCTTCATTCATTTCGAGGTCAGCAGTAAGCGTTGTGTCGGCCTCGAGAACAGTATTGTAGTGATGAGTTAAACTTGATAAGTACTGCACTGTCCATTTCTGAATTCATAAATGAAATGTAATAGCAATCTACTAATGGTCGCTCCAGTCAAAATCCCAATATGACTTTATCCAAAACATTGCGAATAATCAAGTAGAGACACTAAAGCAGTCGAATCTTTATATTTTCATTAACAATTGGGTTTATAATGTAGTGAAAAATAAGTTATTTCGACGGTATAGAGCAATGTTAATAATTGTATATTTGTATCGCTTTGAAAAGTCATACTGTACTGTGTAATATGGTTAAATCAATGAAGGAATTGTTGATTTTGTTAAATACTTATTTTTTAGTAATATAATATTTTAGTTAAAAAATATGTTATTTGAAGCTAAAGTAAACGTCACAATACTATCTCGTAAATAATCATAGAAAACTATCAATGTTTGACATTTCGAAGTTGTTAAATAGGTATCAATGCCTAGTAGCTATACCTATGCCGTACCTGAGAATCCCACTTATTTGTTCCCACTTATTTTACAAACAGTCGTGTAATGAGGCAGTATCATCTATCTTTATATTAATCATCATCATCATCAACCACTGCCAGCCAAACTGCGGATATCATCACGCAAACGTAGTGTAGAGCGCTCTCCCGCTAGATGGACTGACGATATCTTTATATTATCAGTCAATAAAATTATCGTATAGTTAAGTATCATAGCAACACGCATGGTAGATATCCACAATCAATACAATAATTTAATTAATCCTTAAAATACATTATTTACCATTTTGTTATTGGCAAGTATCTTTCCTTTTTATCTAGGTAATGGATGATCCATAAAATGGTGTTATTTTTTTATTTTATTTGTAACGACAAGGGAACAGTATTCAACTACTATACATATAAAGCTTAGATAGTACGGATATACAAAACATATTTAACAATATTCTGTTATTGGCATTCAGTAGAAATGCAGGGAGAGGACACTGCTAATTTAACACAAAGATACTTAAGTGATACGATTTATTTTAATACTTGTATCTCTCAGAAGGTTATGACTAGTGCCTGCTTTAGGGGGGGGGGGGGGGGGATAAGCCGATGGCCTAGGGTGACAATTTCAGGCACCGCCCTTAATTTGTCGCACAAGATCTACAGTTGGAGTTTTCTGCCATCTCTGGTGTAAACCCTATGGAAGAGCGACTCGATCTTTCTTTTTTTTTGTCCTTATACACTCTTGTCTCTCTGTTTTGGTCCTGTTTTTTATTATTCTTTACGACCACTTCGTTAGCTCTGGGTAATGGTCAAATAAAGACGAAATTCTTAACATAGGTAAGTTTACTTGGCATTAGCAAAAACTAATACTTGAAATTGGGCGCCACAACATTTTCGCCCGGGGTATGTGTGACATTTAAGTTACAATTTGTATGTGATTACGTCACGTTTTCTGTTTGTCAAACATCGGTAGTACGGCTACATGGCTATATTACGTATAAAACTTTTTTATTATAGCGTGTTTATTTTTTATAATCGCTAGCTTCCACCCGCGGCTTTGCATTCGAATATAAAAGTAATTTATCCCGGTATTTTAAAAACAGCAGAGTTTAAACTGTTTAAAGCGATAGCTCGTCTAAAATATTGTGCGTTTCCAATGATTACCACCATCGAATCGTTCCAAAATTTACCTTTTTAAATATTTATAGGTATAGATTGTATTGAAAAATCAAGCAATTTGTTTCTAAACAAATGAAGTACTTAATCATGTTTATTAAGTCACAGTGTTTAAACACTCGACTGGAGTGTAGAATGGATTCGGCTTAATTTATCTACAGATAAAAGTAAAGTGCGTGCGATAATAGTTTTAAGTGGTTCAATTAAGATATCATATGATTGTGCTAATTGATGCAACTTGTTACTAAAGTAGTTTAACATAGATATTATTTAGAGGTCATAAGATTTTTTTTCACAGTAGAGCGCCGACTATTCAGACGCACCTAGATAAAACCAATCGCTATTTTTCCGAATAGGTGTTAAGCTAGATAATAAAAAAGAAAACAAATTTTTGTGAGACTAGTTGGTATTCGTCCGAGTCCAGATATACAGGGTGTTACTTTGAACGATGGACATATTTAAGGATATTGGTGCTCAATTGAAACAACTACATGAGACCAATATCGAAATCTCAAAAAAATGATTTTCTCTATTAAAAATTTCATATTAACTTTATGTAATATTTGATGTACTTGTACACTACACTACCCATGAACAAGTTTCTTTTATACAATTCCATCTAAAGGTTGTCTGGAAGAAATCGCCTTGTGTGATAAGACCCATTGTAATCACAACATTCTTTCTAACCAATGTATTTTAACTTATACCTATATAAACTAGCTACTCTTTCGCGGTTTCAACCGCTGCTCGGCTCCTACAGGTAGTAGCGTGGTATTTTATAGCATTAAGCTTTCCTCAATAAATGTACTAACAAATACAAAATAATTGTTCAATTCGAACCAGTAGTTTCGGAGATTAGTGCATTCAAACAAACAAACTACATCTTTATGATATTAGTATAGATAAATAAATACAAGTATAATGAATAATAGCAATCAGTACAAATCTATAATTCACATACTCTCTTCAACAGAAAACCACCACTTGGTATTCGTGAACTCCGGTTTCACGAACCCTCGCACTTACCGTTACTGGGACGCTAAGGCCCGAGCGATCGACTTCGAAGGCCTCATCGAAGACCTGCGCAATGCCCCTGAGAACTCCGTGATATTGCTACACGCGTGCGCCCACAACCCAACTGGCTATGACCCCACTCATGAACAGTGGGAGAAAATTGCAGATGTTATGGAGGTAAGGAGTTTTTTTTTCAGTCAAAAATGATCAATGGCGACTTACCCACTTTTCTCATTAGTATTGAGCCATCTCGTTGTGAATTGAGACTTGTAAAGCTTGACTGCACGGTTGGTGCGGTGGCTGGGCAACTGGCTGCCGTGCAACGTGTCGCGGGTTCGATTCCCGTACGGAACAACTCTTTGTGTGATCCACAAATTGTTGTTCTGGGTCTGGGTGTCATGTGCATGTCAAATTGTATGTTTGTAACCGCACCCACGACACAGGAGATAATCCTACAGTAGGGCAATGTTTAAAAAAAAATAAAAAAATAAATAAAAAAAGCTCTTCTCAGTTCATTCACGTGTGTAAGAAGTGGTTTTCAATAAATAAAGGCGGTACATATGTCTCACGATAGTTACAATATAAAAATAGGTTAGGGGTTGGCAAGGGACTTTGTGTGTTGCCAACATTGAAGTTTGAGTTCACAATAATTTTATATGTGGCACGAGGCAAACGAATACACGCTGCACTAGAGAAGTTACAAGTATATTGACTGCCTTCTGGGGGAATTCATTTTAAATTTATTGATTATATTACTAAATTTTGATGAGACCTCCATCAAAAATTTGTCATATTGACATTAATGAAGATAATTTATTGCCAACAACTACATTTTTAATGCTTGAATGAAATAACAGTAACAAAATTCAATCAGTGGTGTTATTTTTGGACTAATTTCTTAATAATAATAATTACATTTCATTCAAGAATATGAAATAAAGATCAGATCGAATTTTTAAACTTTCTCTTTTTTAGGAGCGAAAGTTGTTCCCATTCTTCGACAGCGCGTACCAGGGCTTCGCGTCCGGTGACTTGGACCAGGACGCCTGGGCCGTGCGCTACTTCGTCAAGCGAGGCTTCGAGCTCATCTGCGCACAGTCTTACGCTAAGAACTTCGGATTATACAGTACGTATCCTTTAGCTGTCGTTTTTCACATTGTTATGTTCTTAAACACAACAAAACGCGCCCTCCTTTTCCTGCTTGAGAGTGCAGCAGAGAACAAATACCAGTTTACCTACCTATATACCAATGTGCACCTTCTAAGCTTATTTTTTTTTATGTAATAAGTCGGCAAACGAGCAGACGGATTACCTGATGGTAAGCAATCAACGCCGCCCATGGACACCCGCAACGGAGGAGTTACGAGTGCGTTGCCGACCTTTTAGGGATTAGGGATTTGGAGATTTAGGGATTGGGGAAGGGTCCGGGAAGGGGAATGATTGTACCTCCGGTAACCTCACTCACACGGCGAAACACAACGCTGTGGTTGTTTCACGCCGGTTTTCTGTGAGGCCGTGGTATCACTCCGGTCGAGCCGACCCATTCGTGCCGAAGCATGGCTCTCCCACACTTAATAGATTTAGAATCATTTATCACAGACACGGTTTACTTGATGGTAAGCATTCCGCGCCGCTCATGAATACCCACAACACTACGAGTGCGTTGCCTGCCTTTTGGTGATAATTAAGGATTGAGAAGGGGTGATTGAGGAGGGTATTGAGCCTCTACTGTTCATATACCTACATTATTGCGTCTTACTTGCAACCCTAACTGTGCGCCCCATCCCCACCTGCCCTTGAGGATATTTTTGCTTAATGTTACACTGCTCTCACATAATGAAATCAACTTAATAATGTGTAACAAAGAATCTGATTTCGAAACCGATTGAAAAAGACTAATCTACTAGTCTATTGCTCGTTAGTTTCCATCGGAATTAAACCTATCACCTACACTTTGTATGATAGTTAAGGTGTTAAGGTTAAAAATATCTTTTATTGTTGTATACAGACGAGAGAGTGGGCAACCTGGCTATAGTGGTGTCGGACCCGTCGGTGGTGCAGGCGATGCGGTCGCAGTTGACGTGGATAGTGCGCGGCATGTACTCCAACCCGCCCGCCCACGGCGCGCGCGTCGTCACCAACGTACTCACCAACAAACAACTATTCGACGAATGGTCAGTATCAAATTATTAACAAAAAGGTTTTAATCAATTTGTGAAGTGTTAGTAGTATTAAAATTAATTCAATATGTTCGTTTTCCAGGAAGGACCACATCAAAGCCATGTCCTCCAGGGTGACTGAAATGAGAGAAGCTTTGAGAGCTGAACTTATCAAGTAAATACTTTTTTAATTAATTCAACTTAGAATATAACTTTTACGTACACTCTTCTTAGCTGCTCGACTAGTTTCAAGCCACAACAGGACTCATAATCGCTCGACAAATTACGTCAGGCAACGGAATGAATTGAAATTTTACATACATCTTATTTTATACCCATATTCTTTGCGTAATAAACGATTTGTATTGATTTGATTAAAAAATACATCTAAATTATGCTAAATATAAAAGAATAAACGCAAAACCATACTGTTTCAGGTTTAACTTATCAAACCATGAAATTGTATGTTTTATATTTTGAAAATTCAAACATCATGTTTGTTTTTTTTATGGTATAAGTCGGCAAACGAGCGAACGGATTATCTGATGGTAAGCAATCGGCGCCGCCCATAGACACCCGCAACACCAAAGGAGTTACGAGTGCGTTGCCGGCCTTTTGGGGATAGGGGTTGCGGATATAAGGATTGAGAAGGGATAGGGGAAGGGGAGGGATTGGGCCTCCGGTAACCTCACTCATACGGCGAAACACAACGCTGTGGGTTGTTTCACGCCGGTATTCTGAGAGGCCGTGGTATCACTCCGGTCGAGCCGACCCATTCATGCTTGGCTCTCCCACACTTTGTTGTATGTGAGACCCCTTAATATATTTTTTTTATTTAGCAGCTACAGAAATCCATCATATATCCAAATTTTTTTTTATTTATAATTTAATTCATAAGAAGCAGCCTGACAGACACACATACAGATAAACACGACGGACGGACAGCACAGTCTTAGTAATAGAGTTACCGTTCATCACTAATAAAAATTACGTGACTCAAAAAAATATCTTTTTATTTTTCAGGTTGGGAACACCAGGCCATTGGGACCACATTGTCAAGCAGATCGGTCTGTTTTCCTACACGGGTTTGACCCAGAAACAGACGGAATATTTAATTCAAGAGTACCACATCTACCTATTAAAGTCTGGTCGTATTAACGTCTGTGGATTGAATCCCAGTAACGTTCAGTACATGGCCAGAGCTATGCACGACGCCATCACCAAATTCCCAGCTGAAGAGTAAAAATTTTATTTCTTTCATATCATTTATAGTAAGCCTTATATCTTATAGAAGTAAATTGACTAATAATACTCCAAACTTTTTTACTGCAAAGCATTTTCAACTTTTTTGTCTTAGTAATAAGATTAAGTTTCGTAAAGCAACATGATCGTGTCTGTTACGAATCATTTTTTTTATATTGTAAGCTGTAAGGATATTTATCTTGTATTTCGTTTTTATCGTTGAAAATGATACTTTGATATGATGAAAAGTTCCATTTGAAATTTTAAATCAGAGTATTACTGTCAATTTACTTGATTATTGTTGATATAAGTGCTTCTATGTGTGAAGGTCCAAGGTTTTGTGAGTGTTGGTGTTTGGTTGTTTTTGAACCAAAAACATTGTTAGAACATGTTTTGTACTATGCTATATTTATCTGTGTATAAAGATCTTGGCCTACGAATTGGCCGTTTTCCATAATCATTCATATTACATTATAATAAAGATTACAAACATTTATTTCGAACTGGAAAGTATTATGAAGTTTTTTCAGGAATATTACAAATACTGAAATTGAGCCTAGTGAACTACAAAAGGCTACAGTAAGCCTTATACACCTCCTTTAGCTTGCGGCGCTGATTGCTTAGCATCAGGTGATCTATTTGATAGTTTTCCGACCTATGCTATAAAATCGGGACGCCTCACGCGACCCAGTAGCGCCTCTAGTGACAAAACCAAGAACTACAACAACCTTTACCAAACAAAGTGCAGATAAAAATCAACTTCACACCCGCTCACACAATTTTCGACCTTACCAGGAATAGTAATAAGATCGTTAACCGAAAGATTATATTTATTTTAGACAATTTGCACAGCTATAGCGTATACTACACACGTTGATAAGTAATTTATTATTGAAATTACGTTTTCATATACTTTAGTGTAATGTCCTAAAGACATAATTAAAATCAAGTTGATATAATGTTACCCATTAGTTATACAAGTATTTGTAACCAAGTTTAAAAACATTATTATTAATTTATTGTATATATATCGTACATAAATACATACATAAAATTTGTATATGTATATATACTATCGACATCCGCGCTGTTTCACCCGCTACTCGGCTCCTTTTGGCCATAGCGTGATGTTTTATAAGCTATATAGACTTCCTTGATATATGGGCTATCCAACAGTAAAAAGGATTTATTGAAATCAAACCAGTAGTTTTGGAGATGAGCGCTTTCAAACAAACAACTGTTTTTCCTCTTTATTCATTAATACAAATTAAAAGTAAATAAATAAATACAATGGTATGATATAATATCTTTGCCAAAGAGAAGTGATTTATAAAATAAATACAAGAAAGCAAAACGGAATGGTATTGTTGGTTCGTTTAATGTTGGTACTTATTACGAAGAAAAGATGCGTTACAGTTGCGTGGAAGCTGCGTTAACGCAGCGTTTTTTTTTTTGTCGAGTGGTGATTTTGTACGGAGCCTTAGAAGCGACAAAAGAGAATGGATTTGTATGATGAGATTAAAGCATATATCAATATTAAATTACTCAAAAATTGAGATTATTTTCAACCTTATTATTCTACGCACAAGTCTCAATTTGCAAACTTATGAATAAATCTCGTAAAGGAGATTTTTTTTAATTAATCTGTATTATATTTTATATAATACTTATAAGTACTTCTATTTGTAATGTATTTATGTATATTATAATTATAACAATCATCTACACGTACATCCAATACAAAAGTTTATATTTTTATATATAAAATAAATAAATAAACACGATTAAATAATAAATAAAATATATTTACAGATATTGCTATTGAAATAGAATTACTGAAGTTGTGAACAATTAACGGAAGAGAAGAAACCAATGGCGTAGCTTTTAAATAATAGCCTATTCAAACTCTATTATTTATAATAAATGTATCGCATCTAACTACTTTATTAAGCCCTTCAATGATAGCCTTTTGAACGGCTAAATTTCCCATTAATACCGTTAGTTGAAGGGTGAATGATAATATCTATCATTTAAACTTAGTTGCTACACCAGAATGGCATGTTAGGTCAGTTTAGAAATGCAACCCGTACAGAAATCGAATTGCAATCAAAAATAAACAGCTAGCAACATTCTACTGCGATTTACGGGATCACCCGGGTCTGTACGTGGCCTTAGATGTCAACTTCTCCATGGGACCCAACATGGCCAATGCTTAGCCGGGGTCACGGGTCAAGCGCAAGAAGGTGCCGCGACCCTCGGCCTAGAGCAGAAGGAACGAGGAGTTTTTAGTCAGTAAAAGTCTGACACTCTCTCGCCATACCCTGGTCGAGAGAAAACATTTACTGATTTTCCCCTCATAAGAAAAAATATGTCAACTTCTAATAGGCCCTTAGAACTCGTATAAATATGCTTTCATAGCTGGAACTTAAGCGTCAGGATAATATCCCTATTTATATTTATATACAACGAATAGACAGATTCATTACTACATTTAACTAGAACAAATTTTACGAAACAATTTTTATACAGAATTTCTTATTGCGTTACTCTTGTTATTAACATTGCATTTTAATTTTAATATTAAATAGTTTTGTTTCAATTTAGTATTGAATACGCATTTTTTGTTGCTGTAATTAATATAAATATATAAATGCTATAGTGAAAAGTAAATATTGATTGAAGAACTTTTTGTTTAATAAAATTGTATCTATCAAATTATTGCTCAAATTCAGTATTGCCAGATATTATAAATGTTAAACTTTTAATTAGTAACAACACTGGCAATTTTATCAGCAAAATTCACCGAATTTAGTACCTACTACAGCAATAATAAAAACGTGTGTTGCTACACGTAAATATTTTTATAAGACGCGTTTTGTCTAAATGTCATTACCAATTTATTTGGCTGTGATGAAATTTTGTAATTATGGTCTTTAATATACAAAGTTGTGAAGTTCAATTGTTATTAGGTAAACGGCAACTTTAGTTCACTATTAGCGTTTAAAACGAACCAGAATTGCAGTATTACATGCTTTTAGTTACATTATACATTATATTCATTGCTTTTATGATTTTTATCTAGGATTATTCTAGAGTATGTTTGCAAATACACAATCTCAATTGTTATTGTATTGTTTTATTTTAATTGTCCTGTATTTTAGTTACATGTGACGATTTCTTTTCAGTGACGCTCGCTCCAAATTGTAGTGGACTGCTGATGCTACGGTATGTGTTGTTATACAGGTGATGGGACGGACATACTTTAAAATTGTTTGTATATTTATATAAATTTGTAATTGTAAATAAATATCATTTGATAGCAACACAGACCGTTCCTATTTTCTTCTTCTATTCTGGGTATGGGGAAAAGCAGAATCTGGGTTTATCTAATAAAGGTGTCTTGGTGGCCCAGAGGTTAAGGCTCCCGCTTCTTAAGGGAATGGGTTCATAACCGGGTGAGTGCCAATGTGACCATTATGCATAAATGTACTTTCTATGATTAATAAAACACCAGTTACAAACGGTAAGCGAAAACATCATGAGGAAACCTTGACTTATAATTTCTTATTACAACATTGAAATCGCCCGACTTTAAAAGGCATATGCCTAGTGCAAGCGTGGTGATTAATGCTCCAACCTTCTCCGTATGAGAAGAGGCCTTTGCTCAGCCGTGAGTACTTATAGGTTGATGATGTGTGTCAATCCAGGTTATCACATATGTACATACCAAATTTCAATGAAATTAAACACAAGGCAACTACTCCAAATAGTCAAAGAAATCCCACGACTGAATTGCGGCTTCAATATCAGGTGTAGTTCTACCTTCGTGAAGGTGTCGTAGTATTGTAAAAAGCCTACTAACAACATACAAAAGCACTACACGGCCCTACAATTTTTTACAGTTCCCCTCGATTTCGCTGGTCTTTCATTATTTGATCCTGATTTCCTTATCATGGGACTATCTGGGACAATTGCCTTTCCAAAAAAAAAAAAAAAAATATCTAAATCGGTTTATAAATAACGGAGATATCAGCGAACAAACATAAAAAAACATATATACGGTCGAATTGAGAACCTCCTTTTTGGAAGTCTGTTAACGATTGGGTAGTTTCCTAGGTCTAAAATAAATTAATTCGACGATTCAATACAATAAAATATTGAAAAATAACTATACTTTTATTCATCGATCGATCGATACACTAAGTTTTAGATATTTTGTAGCTAATTATTAAGAAATAAGTAAGCTATTTGACGCAAAAATACGATGTCGTCATAACTCAGTTTTTAATACAAATATCCTAGAAAACGCTAGAAAAGTATCGTTTTTGACATTTGGATAACGCGGCGACCTCTGGATGGAGTTTAACTGAAGAAAAATTTAATATATAGGATTATGGGCGTTTGGGCGTCCCCTACAAAAGAGGGGGTTGCAATATTCTCCATTGCAGTTTAGAAGGTTCAGGCTTGTAAGAGCGCTGCTTGACAAAAATGCATAGTCTTAGTAGTGTTCACGATGTCCCCAGAAAGAAAAGGGGTGTTAAATGGTTTTTACCTCAGTATATGCAAAGCAATAAACGCGCCTTGGTGGCCGGCAAGTTAAGGCGCCCGCTTCTCATGCATGAGAGTGCGGTTTCGAAAGTACCAATGTGATTTTTTTAACATACTATGAAGTATACCATCGGTAACAAACCTGGACTTATAATTTCTAATTATAACTTAAAAACGTAGTGATTAATGCTCAAACCTTCTCCGTGAGAGAACAGGCCTTTGTTCAGCAGTGGGCACATACAAGCTGATGATGTATGATGCGACATGGTACAAAATTAAAACTCAAAACAACATTTTATAGTTTATTTATATAAATATATACATTTCTATGTCTCCATAGCATCTTCACTGGTCGCAGAGGGCGGTGTGAGCAACGGTCGCGATGCGAATCGACTTTCAACTGAAACAAATAAATTGGAATCTATGAAGTACCACACAACACTCAACTTTAGACATTAAGAAAACTTAAAAAACTATTTTGCTGAAAAAATATTAGGAATTATTTATTACCGTATAGAAAGAAGGAATAGGCGACATATTGCTTTATAGTTCGTTCTATAATTAGAGACAACGATTTGACATTTCGAGTGTTGCAAGTTTTTTCCATTTCATAAATAGTGAAGTCCCGCGACCGGTATTGACC